GAATTCTGTGGGAATTGGGGAACGTCTGGTCTAGATTTCTTAGCTGAGATCACACTGAATGCTTACATAACTACCTCTGAATCTATGGTTGTGAATCTGCAGGCTGCTAAAAATCTGCTCACACCTGGAGATCAGGAGGCTTGACAATCGGTCACTTTCCCGCCAGCCTCCTCACTGGAGCTAAAAGTAAGTTTCCTGATTGTTCTTCATTTTTGTTGGATGAGATATGTTATTCTTAGCAATCACTACACATAACAAAGGTATTTCAACATCGTTTCTTAATCTAATCCATGCTATTTGAAAGCCCTGGTTTCCTAGGATAAAAAGTTAAAAGTGGTCAATGCTGCTATCCTGAGAACCCTAAAAACAGCTTGGAAAGAAAGACATCTACCAGCAACTACTCTCTCCTGGATAGCAGCTGCTCCCAGAAAGCCCCCAGCCCTGAATCACCACATTCAAAGCTAGATGTTTAAAAACCATTTGCCAATCCAAACGCAGCAGTTTGGGGTACACTCTTCTTGTGTGTTCCCCCTATCTCACTGTTATCGTTCTGTCAAAACTTTTCCAAGCAAATGGCCTCTACAAGGACAAGCCTAACTCCACATGGTACCATTTTTGTCATAAGAGACGATGCCTTTTTTGACCTCTGTCTCCATTTACCAAGTCAGCTTGTGTACCAGACATTTAAAAATAAGCTACCAATTCCAATATATATCAACTGTTCTAGAACCACACTCTGCCAATTTTATCACCGATCACTCTCCTGCTTCTATCCAAGCAGGTGTCCAAGGCTTCCACCTACACACTAACAGCCTAACTTTGCTTTCCCTTCCTGTTCTTACTTCAGAGAGCTCTACACTCCCCCCCTTTTAATATAAGTGTTTATTTATTACAATTTATTCACTTTGTATATCCCAGCTGTAAGCCCTACCCTCGTCCCTTTCCAATCCCTACACTTCCCTTTACCTGTCAGAAAACTCAAATATCATTCAAAACAGTTCAGACACCAACTCTTACACCAAAGCCTTCTCTGATTTCCCAGGTGAAGTGGAAAAAAGGACGAAATACACAGCTACACTCTGGCTGCCTCAAAGGTCGAGAGGTGCAGAATCAGTCACAGGCACTGAGGGCGCCAGGAATAGACATTTGGAGTAACTTCCCCTCTGTCACAGTTCCGTTCTTAAATCATGTCAGCTGTTAAACACAGGATGAAAACAGTCTATCTGGATCTCAATTTCCCTCCCATATCCTGACGATTCTTTTTCCTACGTCCTCACGGTGTGTATATATGAACTCCAGTCCTCACTTGGGTACTCCCGGGATACTAAGAGGAGTGGGGACGCCCATCCCTGTGCACCTTACGTCATGCTGCGTGAGAAAGGCCCTACTAAGTAGAACACCAAGCCTGAGCCAGGGTCCCTAAAACTCCCGTTAGCCGGACACCACGAACGTGCACACAGGGCAGCGACCCCGGAGCCACAGGAACTGCTCTCTCCTAGGACGCGATGCCCTGACCCTTCAGGCCTTCAGGCCCCTGAGCCCTCGGGGCACTGTGTGTCTTATTTTTTTCCTTCGCTCCAGTCCACCGCGAGGAAGACAGGGATCTCGCGCCCCTCTCAGTTCACTTGACGCCTCAGACGCCCCCTCCTGCCACACTCACCGCTTGCTGAGAGGCCGGACCCTCACGGCCACCCGCACGTTCGCCATCCCTCCGCCACAACCCAAGACCCACACAGCGGTCCAGAGGAAGCATCCCTGGCAGGCATCCAGCGAACAGACCAGGCACTGGCACAGCCACAGCCACAGACTGGCCCGCCCGCCCCGTGCTCCTCCCGGCTGCAGGGCCAGCCTCGCCCGAGGGGGCGGGGCCCGCCGAGCCTCGGCCAATCCCGAGACAGACGGGGTGGGCCTCCTCGCCTCGCTCCACCCTCTCGGTTCCCCGAACGCTCCCACCCAAGCAGGAGCAGCACTTCCGACGGGGGCGGGGCCCGCTGAGCCTCGGCCAATCCCGAGACAGGTGGGTTGGGCCTCCTCGCCTGGTTTCACCACTCACCGCCCTAGCGTCGGCACAGCCAGACAAGGGCGGGGCATGCCGAGCACCCGCCAATTCTGAGACGGAGGGGCCCGGCCACCTAGTCTCGCTCCGCCCAAAGCAACCTCCTCAGACGCCCCCAAGCGTGCTGTAGCACCTCTTTTGTCCTAAGATTTGGTAACTACATTTTTGGTTAATACTCGAAAGTTCATGAAGTAAATATATATATGTATATATATATAATATTAATTTATGTATATAAATATATAATATATATATTTATATATTGGCCTGATATGTCAAAACTGAGGCTAAATTTTGGGTCAAAAAATGAAGTGGAGCCTATCGTGAAGGCTAATTAGGGCCGGAATATTATTATTGTTAATTCAAGGTCAGCCTGGGTCATACATCGTAGTTTGAGGTCAGCCTGGGGTGCAGCGTGAAATCCTATCGCAAAACAACAATGAAACGTGCAAAACCAATCGTTTTGTAGTTTTAAGGACTTTTCAATGAGGAATAATTATTCTTTTTCTTTTTTCTTTTGTTTCTAACTTACTGGCAAGTTTCTCTCTATTGCCTTGAGACTTCACTGCCGCCCTCGCAGTACCTACAGTACAGAGCAAATGCTGTCTGACCGGAATTGGTCTATTCAAATAAGAAATAGCTGTTTAAACCTTAAAGCCTCAAGCCCAGCTGGAAGACGAAGGAACCAAAAGCCCTTCACCACCAGGGTGAACAAGTTACTATTTTATATAGACTCTTAAAGAAAGCAGTCACTGATAGCAGTGACATTCCAATATATTTGAGGCCATTAAGGCTGGGGACAATGAAGGCTGAGGACATTAAGGCTGGTTATTTCATAGAGTTTCCTAAGTAAGCCTCTATTAAGGCAGGCATTGTCTAAACAATCAGAACGCATCAGCCTGGTGAAACCTCTGCCCTTATAGAGCTGGTAAAGTACAGTAATGGGTAAAACAGTTTTTTAAAAAATTTAAATGTAGCTAGGTATGGTGGCACACACCTTTCATCCCAGCACTCAGGGAGGCAGATGACTGGGTTTGAGGTCAGCCCGGTCTACAAAGGAAGTCCAGGACAGCTAGGACTGTTAAACAGAGAAACCTTGAAAAAAAAAAAGTTTTAAATGTACAGTAAATTAAAATTTAAGAGTACGTTTTTTAAAAAAAATCCTGCACAGAGAACAGGATCATGACATCAGGGCTGGTTTGTAATCAGAGGCCTGCTTCAGTCAAGGCAGGAGAATTTTGAGTTCCATGCTAGCCTGGACTGCATAGTAAGACCTGGTATCAACAAACAAACAAACAAACAAAGCCATGCTGTTGTGTGAAAGGTTAGACAGAGGGAGCAGGTCAATATAAGGCCCTGTGTATGCAGACAGCCTTAGTTAGGATGGATGAAGGTACAGAGCCAGGATCACGACATAAACATGAGGCCACAGTAGTCTCTGGATTTTATTCAGTGAATTGGGAAACCATGGAAAAGTTTTGGAGAAAAGAGTACAATTAGCTAATTTATATGGTTTCTTTTGTCTTGGTTTTGTGGTTGTTTTGAGTCAGGCTTTCTCTGTGTAGCCCTGGCTGTCCTGTACTTGCTTTGGACCAGGCTGTCCTTGAACCCACAGAGATTTGCCTGCCTCTGCCTCCCTGAGCGCTGGGATTACAGGCGTGCTCCACCATACCCAACTGGATTTTTATGTTTTTATTTTCAAATTGTTTTATACTTGTGTGTGTGTTTGCCATTGAACATGAGTAGAAGCCAAGAATGTCATACTTGATTTTTAAATTAACCACCATCTTTGGGGGATCAGCTCATCCCAGCTGGGATTGTTGATTGTTCACATCCCGGAAGTTCATGGGAATGCCACCTGGGTATGCAGCCACTCTGGGAGAGGGAGAAAGAGGGGTGTCTTCTAGCTATGCAGCTATAAAAAACAACAAAATCAAAGCCACCATCCCTGCTGGTAAAGACTGCTTTGGGGGAAGAGTACCCACAATCCTTTAAGTTACTCCTTATCCATGCTCTGCAAGGAAGCCCAATAAACTCATCAGCTCCACAGTGAACTTTGGTGAACTCATGCTCTGTTGTTGGGACCTTAGAAGGACTGATAGACGTTGCTTACGTTGCCCTCTGAGAAGGAATTTTAGCAACAGCGGGCAAGTTGGCAGTCATGTAGGTACTGGATATCAAATTCAGGTCTGCAGGTTTGGTGGCACAAGCCTTTACTGGCTGAGAAGGGCCCTGATTTATACCTTTAAAGGCTTATTCTGAGACGTGAGGAGAGTAGAAACCCAGAAAGACCAGTCAGGAAGCCACTTCAGCAATGAGTCATTAAGTTCCCTTTTCTTGCCCCTTTGAAAGCACCAAGAGTAACATATTAGACAGCTGGTTTGCAATACAGACTCACTTGGAAACCCAGGTTCCTGGATAGGTTCTCTCTTCATGCTGATTTGCAATGAAAACTGCTGCTGAAATATTTCTATCTTCAGGCTATTGAGTGTGACACAATTGGAACACTACAATTTCCTAAATTATTTCACTCAAGGGTAGGGATGTAGCTCAACTTTGCCTAACATTCACAAAGCCATCATTCCAGCCCCAGGATGGCAGAAGGTGGGTGTGGTGGCACACACTTGTTATCCCAACATAAGGGTCAGCAAATCCCAGGGCCCCCAGGCTATTTGTGACCTTGTGTCTCACTCTCCTAAGTAACTCTATCTTCTATACACTGACTCACTCCATTTCTTGCTCTCACACACCAATCAGCACTTACGGACCACACTAGTACAAAGATTTCACTTTATGTTATAATTTAGGCTTAACGTACCTTAAGCTTTTGTGAACTGGATAGCGCCAATGCTTTTATGTTATATATGTCAAGCTAAGAGTATTTTCTTTTTGTTACTTGAGATTCTTATTGGAGCCACATTTAGTTGAAATTAGTTTATTTTTACATTTTGAGGCATTAATGGAAAAAAATACAAAATCATAAGGAATGTATTAATAACATTAGTATAATCAAAGTTTACATGTAAGTACACAAGAAATCATTCAAAGAAAATGACTAGATGTTAAAAGATTTGAGGTGAAACACAAATAAAGATTTTTTTTCTGAGTTTCTAGGGAATGGTCAAAATTTCAGCACCACTCTTCTATGGCACATTTGTAAAAAGCTGTAGACTTAAAACAATGATCTGTTGCTTTAACAGGGCCCTTTTCAGGGCAGAGTGGAAGGTAAGGCTCTTGCTTCCTTGTGAACATTTATTATCTATCATCTGAAGTCTTGTTTTAAGAGTGTGATGAACAGGTATGATAAACTCCCACAAATAGAATGTAATCCTATGGGCATACTTTAAAGTATCTCTACTTTTAAGTATACTAGTCTCTTTTTTTTTTTTAAAGTTTATTAGTTTACTTATTTATTTACTGCATTAATGTTTTGCCTGGATGTATGTCTGAAGGTTTCAGATGCTGGAGTTACAGCCAGTTGTGAGCTGGTATGTGGGTGCTGGGAATTAAACCTGGGTCTTTAGGAAAAGCAGTCAGTGCTCCTAATCACTGAACCATCTCTCCAGCCCACTCGTCTCTATATTAAGAAAAACTCTAAGTAGGTAAAGAGTATCAGTATTTTCCATTACAAACCTCTAAACTGTAGATAGATATGATGGCACATGTCTGTGATTCCAGTACTCAGGAGGCTGAGGCAAGGAAAAATCATGTGTTTGAGACCAGCCTGGGCTATATAATGAGTTCAAGTTCTGTCTTGGCTACATAGAAGTATCAAAACAAAAAGTTCTAAATTTTATAGCACAAGAGCTCCCTTTTCCCTTTCATCTTTTTTCTTTGCCTGTCCTACGTCTAGCAGCACACACCCACAACATGTTTTCCAGGCAATCCTAAGAATACAAGCAGGTTAATCGATCTTCTATGTGTCCTCACACTCACAGCTGTGACTTAGTACAGCAAATGAACTGTGACATTTGTGAAATGTTCTCTAATACCAAAACTGTTAGGGATGTGGTGCTCTGGAATTTTGCCAGGGACCAGTAGCAAAGGACTTTCTGCTTGGTATGTACCAACACTCTAGACTCTCAGAAAGAAAGCAAGTGTCCCACACAAACCAGTGGGTCACAGCCAGGTCACACCAACCCCTTCGCATCCTCCTAGGTGTGCCAGCCAGGAACCACCACCTTATCAAGCCTTCACAGGGTAACAGGCCTGCTGTGTAGCTACTCTGCAATCTCACAGAAATGATCACCACAGACATTTTCAGACTGAAGAACACTCTCATTCAGAAATGTTTTAAAAAGATATAATATAGAATTTTCTGTCTAAAGAATGTTCAACTCACTTATAATAAATTATCATATATATATATTTGATCATTTTTAGCTCCACTGAAGAGTGAAAATATGTGAAGAAAAAAAAAAAGGTCAGTTTGATTCTAATGAACCTGAAATTCTGGGACTCCAATGTTCCCCAGCTCCCTTCTCTTATTACTCTCTACATGTTACTTTGATTTAAGCACATGCACATGATGACACATGTCAGAGGCGTACCTGTGGGAGTCAGTGATCCCCTTCTGATATGGGATCCCACGGACTGAATTCAGGCTGTCAGGCTTGAAGCAGGAGCTTTTCCCTGCTGAGGTAGCTCTCTGGCCCTCCAATATAAAAAGGGCTCTTTCAGTGCTGCTAGCAACAAACACTTATCAATATCCCTGTCGTACTAACCTAGAAACAGACTTCTTTAACGACATGTAATTAAGCAAGAGTAAAGATGGCAATCACTTGTCATTAACAGTTTGGGTGTGAGCTTTAGAAACAGAAGATAAAGGAGGCACTATTTCAAGTTCATGAAGGTAATTTTCTTCAGCTAGTATCTTAGGGATACACAGGGAAATTTCCTTTTGTTGTTCTCGCCACTTGAGTATATTCTCTGCCAGTTCTTCTGTCTTGTTCACCAAAATATCCATCTTGGCTAAAGCCTTGCTCTGTAACATTTGAAATTAAAAAAAAAAAAAAGAAAATAAAATTTACAAAAAAGAAAAGAAAAAACTTATTATTATTATGTCAGAAATAGATACGTCAAAGATAAAAATTAGTATCTGATCTTTTTCTAGTCCCTTACTGCAAAAATTCCTTTATAACTGTGTCTCTGCCCCCAACCCAACCTTACATATCTTCTGTCTGTGAGATCACTTACTTACTATCAATCTAAACTCTATACAAATAACCTCAGGCTTTCTCACTATACCTGGCTAGTCTGGAATTCGTGGTAATTCTCCTACTTCATCATCCCCTACAGGCATGTGTATGTCACCAAACTTGTCTTAAGCTGATTCTAAAGGTGTAGGGAGATTGAAGTCTGCAATTCTACAGTTTTCTTTTCTTCTGGTGCTGGAGATGAATACTCCAGATGGTAATGGTCCTCTCTGTCCATACTTTGAGTGGTAGGGCTCAATCTAGTCTATCAATATTTTCTCCACGAGTAAAGCATAGTTCTAACCAACTCACTCCTCTGTATCCTTCCTCAAAAACTGAAAGTGGACTGGAGTGATGGCTTAGCTGTTAAGAGCACCCTGGCTGCTCTTCTAGAGAACCTAGATTTGATTCCCAGCAACCACATAGCAGCTCACAACTGTCTGTAACTCCAGCTCCAGAGGATTTGATACCTTTTCTGGGCTCTGAGAGCACCAGACACATACATGGCACACAGACATACATGCAAAGCATTCATCCTTACATGTAAAATTAAAACAGAAATGAAAATCAAGGGGCTGGAGAGATGAGTCAAAGGTTAAGAATGCTTCCTGCTCTTTCAAAGGACTTGAATTTGGTTCCCAACAACCATGTCAACTGGCTCACAACAGCTACAACTCTAGCCCTAAGGAATATGACACCTCAGGCACCTGTACTCACCTGTGTACACATATGTACACATGTACACACACACACACACCATGAAAACTACAACTCCCACTTACCAACAAAAAAATGCAATGGTATAAAAAAAAAATTAAAATTAAAAAAAAAAAAAAAGCAATGGTTCTCCAGTATTCAGAGACTAAACTCTAAAGTTTGTCTACTGGGAGACTGAATCAGTGAGTTCAAGGCCTGCCTGAGCCATATAGTGAATTCAAGATCAGCCTGTCCTACATAGTAAGAACCTGCCTAAATAAATCTTTTTCTTTTCTGTTGTTTGTTTTCGAGATAGGGTTTCTCCGTGTGTAACAGCTATAGCTGTCTTGGAACTTGACTGTAGACTAGGATGGCCTTGAACTCACAGAGGTCCGCCTGTCTCTGCCTCCCAAGTGCTGAGATTAATGTGCACAGCACCACCACCTGGCTATAATAAATTCCTTAGTCTTTTTTTCAAGGTGTTTCTTAAGAAAACATTGTACCTTATGCATCAGTCAAAGTGGAAACTGCTTTCCCTTAAGCTATGTGTGCTCTCTGTTCAAAACATTCCCCACACTATTGCTTTGGCCACATTAGTCTTTCTGATAAAGTTCAAATTTTACTGATTCTTCAAACTAATTCTGAAAGCTTTCTAAAGTCTTTCTATGTCCTATCCTGTTCCCAATTCCCTGTACTGAAAGTCTTACTGTGATCAACAGCTAGCAAATCCTAATAATTTTATTGTATACTTACACAAACATAATCCTATTAAGTAAAAAGTATCTATCTTGCTAGGTATGGTGGCACATGTCTAAAACCCCAGCACTTGGAAGGCAGAAGCAAAAAGACAATGAGTTTGAAGTCAGCCTAGGCTATACAGTAAGAACATGGGGTGGTCGAGAAGAAGGGAACGAGATGGGAAGAAAGTACAATATGGAAATGATGCTACAGCAATATATATATATATATTTTTTTTTTTAATACTTTATTATTTTTATTTTATGTACATTGGTGTTCTGACTACATGTATGTCTGTGTGAGAGTGTTGAGTCCCCTGGAACAGGAATTACACAGTTGTGTGTTGCCATGTGGGTGCTGGGTATTGAATCTAGGTCCTCTGGAAGAGCAGCCAGTGCTCTTAACTGCTTAGCCATCTCACCAGCCTTAAAGTAATGTTTAAAAAAAAAAAGCTTCTTGACAGATGGTGGTAGCACATGACTTTAATTCCAGCACCTGGGAGTTAGAAGCAGCAGGATCTCTGTGAGTTCAAGGCCAGCCTGATCTACAATGTAGGTTCAGGACAGCCAGGGCTATTACATAGAGAAACCGTGACTTGAAAAAACCAATAAACAAACAAACATGTTTACTTTTGTTTTAAGCCAGAATCTCATTTTGTAGTTTAAGCTAGTCTGGAACTCACTACTTAGTGCAGGTTAGCCCTAAACTCCATTAACAACCTTCTTCAGGCATCCCAGGGCTAGAGTTTCTTCACCAGGCCTGGTGAAGAAAATGTTTTTCTTTTATGTTTCATGATTTTAATGATGACTAACTCAAAGTGAAATAAGTCAAGTTAAGAACATGGTAAATCGTCTCATACGTATGTTCTAGATTTGAATTGTGTGTATGAGTGGGGGGTGTCATGAAAGTAAAAGGGAGACAGTTAAAGGACAGGAAGAGATATTAAGAGAGAGTAAAAAGAGTAATAGAATACCTGTGACATGAAAACAAAAGGAGGCACTATCTGAAGAAGCAAGAGGGCCAAGAAGAGCTGAATGGAGGAGATGAGAGACAACAGCAGCAGAGGAAAACACATGAGGACAAAGGGTGGTTGTATATCCACATGAGAATGTCATGATGAAATACACTGCTTTGATAGTTAACTTAGGAGCTGAGGCTAGCTGGAGCTACATGAGACTATCTACAAAAATAAAACCGAAACAAAAATGTGAAATGGGAAGGTCACACAGTTGAGATTCTAGTAAAAGAATGAAGAGTAGCTGTATTAATAATACTCACCATATTCTTTAGGTTTGCACCCAAATGAGGGATATTCTTAATTGTTTCAAGATGGGTTTCCAATTTCTCAATGAAACTCACAGCCAATTCCAACAAATTTACCATATATCTGAAAGAAAGTGTTATGGTTGGAGCATAAATTTATCCCATAGGCTCCTGTGTTTGAACAGTTAGTCCCTGTCAGGAAGTGCCGTTTTGTGACTTTGGGGCACAGGAACGACTTGGTAGATGCAGAGCACCTTGAAGGTGTTCTCTAAGTCCTGACCCATTGAGATGTGCACAAGCCATGCTACAAGCTCCCGCCCCACGGATGGAGTTGCCCCGGCCATAGTGCCTTCCCTATCATGTTGGATGTACTACCTCTAACCTGTGAGCCAAAACAAGCCTCTCCCCAGCTAAGTTGCTTCTGTAAGGTGTTCTGTGACAGTGGTAAAAAAGAAAAGTAATACAAAGAGAAAAAAGTTAACTTTTCTTTAGTTGTTTTGTTTCTTTTCATTTAATTAGGACTGTTAATTTGAAATAAGCAAATCTAATGAGCATCATTAACTTTTTAACAGAATTATCACTGATTAAAAACATGCTTCTCTTTTACTTAAGACAAAACTTAGGTTGTCATCCAAACAAAAAATACAATGAGCCAGGCATCATGGTACACACCTTTAATCCCAGTGCTCAGGAGGCAAAGGCAGGCAGATATCTGTGAGTTCGAGGACAGCCTAGTCTACAGATCAAGTTCTAGAACTGCCAGGTTTAGACAGTGAAACCCTCAAAAGGCCCAAAAAGTAAAAATAAAAATGGAAAGGCAAATTATTCATAACTGAAATATAACTCAATGGAACTGGGTGTGTGGAACATGTCTTTATTCCCATGACTTGGAAGGCAGAGGCAGGAGGATCTCTGTGACTTTTGAGACCAGCTTGGTCTACATAGTGAGTTTTAGGCCAGCCAGGACTACATATTAAACCCTTTTTCAAAAAGGAGAAAGGAGAAGAGGGAAGAGGAGGAAGAAAAAAACCTGTTTAGTAATAACCATCTCACATAAAACCACTTGGTTCAGATAACAGAGAAGACACCAGGGGAAAATACACTGAAAATTACCATATACTTTTTTTGAATCTGCATTGGTAAATCTTCAAAATTATTATCCAGCTCATCTTTTTGTTGTTGTTGTTGTTGTTCCTTGTTTTGTTTTTAAAATCACTTTGAGATATATTATCAGTAGAGGTAAAAACAAAGTCCATCTACACAGGAAGTTTGAGGCCAGTCTACATATAAAAACCCTGCTTAAAAAAAAAAAAAAAAAAACCAAAAAGTTGTGTCCAGGTTTTGTTGTTACCCTTACGGTCTTTTTAAGACAGGGTCTCGATATGTAGCCCTGGATGCCTGCACTGAAACTCTGTAGATCAGGCTGGCTTCAAACTCATAGAGATCCACCTGCCTCCGCCTCTCCAATGCTGAGATTAAAGGCATGCGCCACCACACCTAGCTTCTTCAGTTTTTGCTTTTCTTAATGTCTTATCTTTGTTAAATACCAACAGAATTTTTAGGCAATAATAAAATTACTTCATAGAAAACAGTCTACATATAATAAAATAAATTTACCCACCATGCTGCATGTTAGGGTCTAATAGTCATAATTTATAATTCCCAGAACACAACTGGCAAAACAAAGTCCTGTTTTGTTTTGTTTTGAGACAGGGTTTCTCCATGTAGTCCTGGAACTCACTCTGTAAACTAGGTTGGCCCTTTCATTTTGTTTTTTTGTTATTATTGTTTAATTTTTTGTTTTTCAAGACAGGGTTTCTCTGTATAGCCTTGGCTGTCCTGGACTCGCTTTGTAGACCAGGCTGGCCTTGAACTCACAGAGATCTGTCTGCCCCTGCCTCCCCGACTGCTGGGATTACAGGTGTGCACCACCATGTATGGTTTGGCCCTTTTGTTTTACCAGTTATAATTATTTACCAAAAAAAGGCCACTTTCCAGTTTAATGCATCAATAGTAGTAATGTTAATAAATACAACCAATAATACATTGTTTTGTGAACTATGCTACAAGTTACCTCCAGTCTAAACAAAAGCTCCCTTACAAGACACACATAATTCTCCATTTCGCCTCTTGGTCTAACCTGTGATAAACGGCTTCCAATGGCAAGTTCTTCTCACATGTGGATCTCAGCAGTCTTTGCCTGATGGCCTGCTTCTCTCTGAGCACTGCTTCCAGATGGTTATTCATGCTTTGCAGAGCATCACACTTTTCAACTACATAAACCAGAGATGGCAACCACAGTTAGCATCAGGACAAGTATGTTTTAGAATTGTTAAGAATTTCCTCCCTGGGGACTGCAGAATGGCTCAGTGGTTAAGGCCACTTGTTGCTCTTCCAGAGGACCCTCATGGCAGCTCACAACCATCTGTAATTCCAGTTCCAGAGAATCCTATGCCCACTTCTGTCGCCTGTGGGCACTGCACACAAGCAGTACACACACACATATGCAGGCAAAATACCCAGACTCAAAAAATAAAGTAAAAACAACTAAAGTCAGCATTAATCTAAGGCGAGGTATAGTGGCAAATACCCCTAGTCTCAGCACTCCTCAGGCTGAGGCAAAAGGATCACTTGAGTTTAGGACTTAGACCTACTCTAGAAAAAAAGAGTTCCTTACTCCAAAGCATATAATAAACACATAAATCAAGTAAATTCATCCCACAAGCTCTGTAAACTTCTTTCTTACTTTTGCTTCTTTGATAACATCGATTTTAGCTTCATTTTTTGACTAACAACCAAACTCTAGCAATAAATTCTTTGCTGTGTTTTTCAAATTTACTTCTTATTTAGTTTTTAAATCCGGGGTCTATTTTCATATGATAATCATATAATAGTAACCAATTTTAACATGTCGTTTCCTCACTCCCATCCATATGCCCTTTTGTTTTCAAAAGGACCTATCGGAGAGTAGATTGTAGACAGCATGACCTTTATTCTCTAAAGAAAAAAAAAAAAACCCAAAAACTTAGAGTGTAATGTATGTGTGTGCTTGCAGGAGTGCCCACATGTGTGCCAAGGCACTAATGTGAAGGTCAGAAGACAACTTTCAGGAGTGGGTTCCTTACGTCCATGTGGATCTGAGGAACTAAACTAAGGCATCAGGCTTGATGGCAAGTGCCTTTACATGCTTAGTCATCCAGCACATCCATGATCTTTTATTCTTAAATCTTTATTCCAAAAACACTCTCTTCTGTAACTGTAAGACATTCACAACTTCAGAATTTTTTTCCTCAGGAAACTTATTCTTTTTAGCTTTTTTTTGCAGTATTGTAGGGACTGAACCTAGGACCTTATACATGTTAAATAAGCACTCTAACATTGAACTACTTTTTCCTTTCCCCCCAATATTTGTGTAAAAACAATTAAAAATTATTAATTAATTCTGTGTACATATGTGTAAGCATATGTCACAGTGTTCATGTGGAAGTCAGAGAACACTTTTTGGTCAGTTCTCTCCTTTTACTCTGTGGGTCCCACGATTTGAACTCAGGACATCAGGCTTAGCAGAAAATGCTTTTACCCACAAGGGTTTTTACCCACTGAACCGCCTAACTGGCCCTGTTTGTTTTGTTGCATTTATTATTGTTGGTATGTGGGAGTGGCTGCATGCATCCACGCTGCAGCACATGTGTCATGTGGGTGGGTCTGGGGACTATATCCAGGGTTTCAGGGTTGGTGGCAAGGGCCTTTACCTGTTGAGATATCTTTCTAACTCTGGTTTGTTTTTGAGACAGTTTCCTGCATTCCAATCTGGCGTCAAACTCATTATGTAGTCAAGGATGACTCTGAACTTCTCAGCGCCTGCCTCTAACCACCGAGTGCTAGGGATTAAATCCAGAGCCTCTAGTATGCTAAACAAGCACTCTATCAACTTCAGCTATTTTTACAGACCATTCAAAAAAATTAAATAGTGATCTCTTGTCTTTTGAAGCTACTAAGGTTTGGGAACAATCGGTGCTGAGAGCTGAGTCTTTAGTGTGGTGGCTCTGGGAGATTGTTTAGGGCTTTGAAGAGGAACAGGGAGCAATTATGTCAGTGAGACCAATGCCCTTATAGAAAAGTTAGTTCAACTCATTTTCAAGACCCCTTTCTGCTGGGTGTGGCAGCACAGGACTTTAATTGAAATATTAAGGAGGTAGGTGGATCTCAGAGGTTTAAGGCCAGCCTGGCCTACATAGTAAGTTTCAGGCCAGCCAGAACTTCACAGTGAGACCCTGTCTCAAAACAAAATTAAACAAACAAACAAACAAACAAACAAACAAAAAAAAAACCCTTCCTGCTGCAGAGTGCTATTTTTTATACTTTTCTAAAATTTTATTTTTACGTGTATGGGTTCTTTGCCTGCATGTCTGTGTATCCTATGTTCATGCCTGGTGCCCATGGACATGGATTCTTTGAGCTTGGTGTTAGAGACATGTTGGTCGCTGGAAAAGCAGCCAGTGCTCTTAACCAATAAGCTAATAAGCCGTCTCTCCAGGCCATTATTCTACTTCTTAAACTTTACTGGCCTGAGCTTCAAAAAAACATAAACAAAAAACCTTAGTTCTGCCCAGTTCTGATTACTAGTTAGTTCTCTTGGAACGGATATTATAAAAGAGTGAGATGGATCCGTAAGCCACTCTGGATCCTGTCCTGTTCCAGTGCTACAATGGCATCCACTATGAGGACCTCGCCACCGCTGAGTGAATGTGTGCCCTGAAGCCTCCAGAAGTGTGAGGAAATAATTTTTTCCTTGTACATTATCCAGCCTCAGGTATTTTGTTGTGACAACAGAAAAAAAAAAAAAAAAAAAAGATTAACAGAGGAGCCAACTTGGTCACTTTCTTATGTTATTTTCTAGTAAAACCTCACCTAAAAAACAAAACAAACAAAAAACTCTGAAAACATGTTAATTATGGGTTAATTAAGATTATGTCATTAGAATTCTGCTGCCTGGTGTTTATATACTGGTGTAATTCAAGAGCAAGCTGAAATCCTAGTAACTATTCTCTTAAGTAAACTTACCTAAATAAGAAGGATGAATAAGATCTGCTGTATCTTTTTCTAGCTGCAGAAGTTCAATTTCCAGGTTGTTCTACTTGAGGAACAAAAGGAAACTTTAGCTCACTCAGAAAGTGTCCTAAAGTTATAAGCTTAAAACACTAATAAAAATGGAGATCCCACAGAAACATGGTACATATATATATTCCTTAAATGGGATGGAAGGATGGTTTATATAAAAGCCAGGGAAGTCACTGGAGCTTTTCATTTTGGTATCTTGCCTTCCTGTTACTACAATTAACCACTATACCAAGCACCTACCAGCCATGCACTTGGCACTGATTTAATTGTAAAAGAAAAATATTCAAACCAATTAATATTTTGTGGGCATCAAACCCAGGTCCCCTAGTATGCTAAGCATCCACGTTTTCTCTGAACAACACCCCAGCATACCACATACTTTTTAAAATAGAGAAGTAAAAGTGGAAAGTTCATAATTTACCTGGTAAATTTCAGTTTGAATATCTGAGATCTGTTGTAATCTTGAAAAGTTCTCAAAGCAAGGAGCCATTTTCTTAGATATATCTATCATCTCCTATTGGTAAATGAACAGGGAAGGCATAGCATGTTACAAAAAGTCTGCATACTAAAATAACATATACAAGGTACTAAAAATAACATTATGTCCAAAACTGTGCCTAACACAAAGAACAAATTAAAACAGAAAATGCATATCTTCTGTTTTTATTTTATTTTGATGAGGTCTCATGTAGCCAAAGCTAGCCTTGAGCTTGCTTTATTATGGTCAAAGATGTCCTTGAACTTCCTGATCATCATACCTCCACTTCCTCAGCATACAGCATAACACTAGGTTTGTGTGTGTGCACAAGACAGAGGTAGGTAGGTAGGTACATAGATTAGACAGACAGATAGATAGATAGATAGATAGATAGATAGATAGATAGATAGATAGATAGATAGATAGATAGAGGAGAGAGAGAGAGAGAGAGTGTATGTATGTGTGTGTGTGTGTTATATGTGTGCTGGGATTAAAGGCATGTGCTGCCTTTCCTCTGGCGGCAGCCATCACATGAGCCAGGATGGGTGTGTACAAATATATCAGGAGCTATGGAGGAAGAAGCAGTCCCAGGTGATGCGCTTTCTTCTGAGGGTCCGCTGCTGGCAATACGGCCAGCTGTCTGCACTGCACAGGGCTCCCCGCCCCACTCGGCCTGCTAAGGCAAGAAGGTGGGGATACAAGGCCAAGCAAGGTTCTGTTATTTACAGGATTCATGTCTGCCGTGGTGGCCGCAAACACAGTTTCTAAGGGTGCAACTTACAGCAAGCCTGTCCACCATGGTGTTAACCAGCTAAAATTTGCCCGAAGCCTTCAGTCAGTTGCTGAGGAGAGCTGGGTAACAATGCGGGCTTTGAGAGCCCCAGATTCTTACTGGCTTGGTGAAGATCCCACATATAAATTTTTTGAAGTTATCCTCATCGAGGCATGTGCCACTGTGTCCCAGCTGAATTAAAATTTTGGTGGCCAGGTGTCATCCTCCATGATCCATCTGTCTCCGCACTAGCGTGACAGGACAGTTAAAAGGTGTGGTGGAACAACCGCCCCTGCATCTTTCAAGTGCTTGACTGTGGCACTAATTTGTACATTCCGCCCAAGTCACACTCTTTGATTCACTATTTTTCCTGGTAGAGGCAACTCTAGGAAGAGGCAACTCCAATGGCTTCCTCACTCCGCAGATCAGGAAACCAATATGGGAATTCTGCCAAGTTCTAAGTAGATCAAGTTCTAAGTACCCCAAATATACATTCTGGTCCTGGGGAAATAACTACAGAATGAGTTTGGGGAATCACGGGATCTATCTGTGAGCTGGACATCAGCCAAAATTCCATTAATCACCTGACTTCCATAAGTGTTTAATACGGGGCTCATAGTTCTATAGAGTTAGGGTCTATGAGCATCATGGCAAAGAGAATAGCAGCAGGCGGAAATAGCCCTAGAGTAGTAGCTGAGAGCTTACATCTTGAGATACAAGTATGAGGCACAGAGAGATAACTAGGAATAGTATGGGCTTTTGAAACCTCAACCCACACTCAATGATAAACCTCCTCCACAAAGGCCACATTTCCTAATCTTTCCCAAACAGGTGAAATCCTTCTACCAACTGGGAACCAGGTATTGAACTACATGAATCTATGGAGGCCATAAACCATCACAGCATATATATGATTAAAATCAGACGCTATGGGAAGGGTCATGGACACTAGAAAAAAAAGAATGTTTGACCTAATCCATCAACCAAAGTAGAAAATCAGCATTGAAAAGATGGCTCAGCAGTTAATTGGTTGTTCTTGCAGGTTCAATTCTCAGAAACCACATGGTGGCTTACTCCAGTTCCAGGGGATCCAACCTCTTCTTCCGACCTCCATGGGCAACAGGCATCACATGGTGCAAATATATACAAGCAGGCAAAATATTCATACATATAAAATAAACATGTCTAAAAAAATAAAAAGAGTAGAGAACCACTCAAACCGTGCCCCTAAGTAACCAACTCTTTCCTTTAGGGCCCAGGCTGTAACCTGGGGACCTTGTAGTGGCCTGCTGTCAACCTTGACACTGTATCCCTCTATATTCTGTGTTACTGCTTTACTCAGAATAAAGTTGCTTTCAATTCTTTAGATAAGAGGACAAGAACCTAAATATTTCTAGCCCAGAGGGCAACATACTAGTAACATATTGGCCAGACTGGGTTAGACTGGCTTGCTAGCAAGCTCAAACTATCTCTTGCCTCTCACTGAGTCTCATGTGTAACTAACTCTAGGACACATGCCATTCTACTATGCTTGTATGTGAGTGCTGGAAATCTAAATTCAGGCCTTCATGATTGTTTGATAGGTGCTCTATTGATTGAACCACCTCCTAAGTCACAGTACCTTTTTATGTGGTGTTTCAGATCAAATCCAGGGCTTTAGCAGGGCATGGTTGCACACACACCTTTAATCCCAGCACTCAGAAGGCAGATCTCTGTGTGAGTTTGAGGCTAGCCTGGTCTACAGAGCTACTTCCAGGAGGTCAGGGCTACACAGTTGAAATCCTTCTTAAAAAAAAAAAAAACAAAAACATAAACCTGGCTGATGTGTGTTACCTGACAATAGAAAGAAAACCATAAAACCACATCACCCAAAAAGGTATCTAAAAACCCATCATTTTATAATGCCTGAGCTAATCTATGGGTATCTTTCTTTTATGGTTTAGGAACTTGTATCCTCTATCAACAATTTCTAGAGGGACACTGAGTCTCAAATGCATTAAGCAATGAAATAATACAATAGTTTTATGACAATGCACAATGCAAAGCAAGAATACTATGCAATGTTGTAGAAAGAAAACACAGGGAGAAGAAAGAAAGGATTCAGCTGAAGAGTACTGTGGCAGCGCCTGTGGAAGCTAGTTAGCCATGACCACATGAAGCACTCAAAGCAATGCTGGGTCTTCAAGAAAACTCCAGAATCCTTCACAACACAATCTTATACCACAGTTAACCCTCATTATTTTACCACTATTTATTTAGGGACAGAGTCTTGCTACGTAGCCCTTGATGGTCCGTGACTCTGGGATTACAGGAGTACACCACCACGCTTGGCTACTTACAATTCATTTTAAAAGATGATATGTCAAAAAAAGAGAGGGTTCTGGGATCTAATTCTGCCAACTTGCTGAGTGATATTGGGTGAATTTATTGGTCTTTTCAGGTGTTTTGTTTGTTTGTTTAGTAGAGACAGGGTCTCCTCACTCTGTATCTTAAGCTAGCCTTGAACTCTAAGCAATCTTCCTGCTTCCAGCTCCCAAGTGTTTAGATTACAAATCTTGTGTCACCATATCTGGCTGTCTCGGTTTCTTAAATACTTTAGGATATATCAGAAGTTGTTGTTATAAAAGAAAAAGAAAGAAAGAAAAAAAGAAAAATCCTAAAAGTCCTAACCATTTTATTTTACCAATGAAGACTCAGGAACCAGATGCCGGGGGGTGAAAACCTACTAGCTCAGAGAGGCAGAGAAAGAACCCAGCTGATCTTCCTATTCAACTCATGTCCCAGACGAAAAAAGTCAAAAGCCCAAAGCTAAAAGGGTACTAGCTCAGCTGACAGCCCAGAAGGAAAAAGCCTGCTAGCTCACCCAACAGCCCAGAAGGAAAAACCCAACAGCCAAAACCCCAAGAGCTAAAGTGCCCTTCTTCTCCACACTGTCTTAAATACTCTTCTCTCAAAGTTCCTCCTGTCTGTTAATCCCTGTCAATTGGTTACTTGCTCCTTCTCTTAACCTAGGGTTTAACTTTATTAAATCCCATGTACAGAAAGCCCTAAAGTAAAGGTGTGTGTTAGGGCTCAACCACAACAAACAAAAGACAGTTTTTTACAGTTCACAATCTTGGGGATCACAATGAGAGCAAATACCCTGCAACAAGAAGTCTCTAACGACTCTTCCATGCATAAAAAAAAAGAAAATCTTCCATTAAGTCTGCATTGCTAATTTCTACAGATGAATTAACTAACTTCCCTCAACTTCCTTTTTTTAAGGTTTCCCTTCTTCAAGCTTAATGTCCTTGATTTCTTACTCCACATTCCCATCTTCTATTATTCCTTCACATGTTCAATTTCTCTCTTTTCTGTCTTCCTTCTTGTCCTGTGTACATGTCTAAAAGTCACTTCTTGGGCTAATCTTTATTCTCACCTCAAAAATCTTCACAGTGCAACAGCACACACACACACACAACACACATCTTAAAGAGATGTTCCCCCTGAAAGTCTCCACTAGAGTTCTTCTGTACTCCGGGCCTCCTGCTCCAAGTATGCTTCAATAAATCCCATCAAGAGACATTGTTGGAAATGCTTGTTTTAAGTACCTGGCAGTATTTCTTTCTCACTGGCCCCCACTCTACAGTCTACAACCTGTGGCTCGTGTCCAATGACACTTTCACAGTCAGGGGGTCGCCAAAGAACGTCGGAAAACACGGGTGTTTACATCACGATTCCTAACAGTAGCAAGTTTACAGCTGTGAAGCAGGAACGAAATGGTTTTATGGCTGGGGAGCCACCACAACACGAGGAACCATAAAAGGGTCGCGGTATTAGGAAGGTTGAGTAGCACTGCTCGAGAGGAGGTTGGACAACTGCAAGGGAAAAAAAAAAAAGCAGGGCGCTGTTTCATACCTGCAGGCACTCAAAGCACAGAGGACGGGGAACACCATCCACTCGGTCCCACACACTCAGAGGACCCACGGGAGAACGGTCACCGCCGCAGTCTCCAAGGGGCGCAGGCCGCCCGCTGAGCGGTCACTCACGACCACCACCTCACAGCAGAATTCTGTCGCCACCCTGATGACACCATCGCAGCGGCCCCCCTGCCCCCCCGCCCACGTACCTCAGTGACTATCCCCGAAGCCACCAAGTGGTTCAGCAGTAACCCGGCTGCACTCGGCGCGGACGCTGAGTCCCACGGGTTGGCGGCAGCCATGGTTCCCAAACACCGCTGGAACTGGCGCGCGGAGTGAGGGGTACACGGCGAACGGTCGCGCGGCTTGATGATGTCACAGGGCGTTCCTGCCCGGGCGGAAGCCCTGGGAGCGCGTCTCAGGCGAGCGCGGGTCCCCGGTGTTCCCTGGCGGAGCCTTCTCTGCACTGAGCGGTCGGAGGCGAGTCTCGAGCTCCCTGTTCCGGCAGCGGCTATCGGAGGTTCCCTGGCTCTTAGCTTGGCTGCCGCTGCAGCCGGACCTTGTGGTAGCGCTGTCTGCTCGCCTGCTTTCTTCTTGCCACTCTTGGGCTGGCCCCTGGGAAGTAGGGATAGGCAGAAGGTGACAACTGGGACGGGAGACCCGAACGGGAGGTTTACGAGGTGGCTCTGGGTGTCTAGACAGGGCGGTGACAGCTGTGCTTCTTTCCCGCAGGGAACTGAGCCGCAGCGCTAGGATGGGAAACAGTGCCCTCCGCGCTCATGTGGAAACAGCGCAGAAAACTGGTGTCTTTCAGCTTAAGGACCGTGGTCTGACCGAGGTGAGACGTGAGGGGACCCGGGCAAGAAACTAAAAGGTAGAGGGGTGGCGAAGCCTATTGGTGCGTTATTTCCTTGCTGTGAACTCCTTTCTCCAGTTCCCCTCAGAGTTGCAGAAGCTAACAAGCAACCTTAGGACCATCGATTTGTCCAACAACAAGATCGACAGCCTACCGCCTCTACTAATAGGAAAGTTCACTCTGCTGAAGAGCCTCTCCCTCAACAACAACAAACTGAGTATGGCTTTTGCGCCTGGGCAGCTTTTGCTAGTTGATCAGTAGTCATGAAGGGTGTTTTTCCTCTTACAAACTGATTTTGTTATGAAATAAGTTCAGGGGATGCAGAATGTTAAGAGTATTGAAGCCTTTTGCCTCTTGCAATTAAATATACAAGCTTCCTTGGGTAGCATTATCATTCTTACTAGGTTAATATGGACTTGGAAGACCTTTAGGATGCGGTGTAAACAGTTACATAATTTGGGTGTCAGGGTGGAAATGGGAGGATCTTCCAAACCTCCCCAGATTGTTGTTAGAATATACCTAAGGCCCTTTACTCAACGAACCCATTATACACATAAACACTTTTCTGCATTTTGATGGCTTCTTAATCTTCCGAACACTGTTGGTAAAGCTCGGTAAGTGAGAACTCTATGTAAGAAGCTGGGCCTGGTGATTTAGGTCTGCAACCCTAGCTACTCAAAAGGCTGAGGCAGGAGGATCATAATTTCAAGGCCAGCCTAAACAGCTTAATCAGAACCTGTTTCAGAATTAACAATAAAAACAAGATGAAGCAGGCCGCCATACTATCTTTATATAAGCTTCCTTAGTTCCATCAGATTCGGGTTTTAATTTTTTTTTTCCTTCACTAGCTATTCTACCAGATGAATTATGCAATCTGAAGAAACTGGAGACACTGAGTCTAAACAACAACCACCTGAGAGAGCTCCCATCTACCTTTGGGAACCTCTCTGCCCTGAAGACTCTGAGCCTCTCTGGGAACCAGTTGGGAGCACTGCCACCCCAACTTTGTAGCCTTCGACATCTGGATGTCGTAGATCTCTCTAAAAACCAAATTCGCAGTATTCCTGACATGGTTGGGGAGCTGCAAGCCATCGAACTCAATCTCAACCAGAACCAGGTCTATAGTGTGTGTGTGTGTGTGTGTGTGTGTGTGTGTGTGTGTGTGTGTGTGTTCTGCCCCCTTCCCCAGTGTACATTTGGGTGTATGGTCTTCTGATAATTTCCTGCTCCTTAAACGATAATTATGGAGTTGGGTATCAGAAACTAAGCTGAACTTATTTCAGTGTGCAGTGTCATGGAGTAGGTTGATAGTGGCTATGTAACGGTCTTGCAGGAGTTTGAGGAAGATTGAGCAGAGCAACAGGGTAAGGTAATTACAAAAGAAGTTTTACAAGTAATTCAGTTTTCACACCCCCAATCATTTAGTGAGGAGCAATGTCAGGGATCCTATAGTATAGGAACGAGATATCAGACATTGCTGAAAAATCCCTAAGTGTGATCGTTTTTCTGGAGCTAGGTTACCACTGGACAACTTGACATGTGAAATGTTTGCCTTGTTTTGAAGCTTCTTGGTTAACATCTGTCTGGAGAAGTACTCTGCTCTACACATGAGGTAGTGATGAAAGAGATCTGAGACTAGGCAGCCTTTAGTTTTCAGCATCTATGCTCCTACATATGTACAACTCAGTATATTAGTTACTACACACATTATCACTGTGCTAGACTAGTTAACATAATAGTCAGGCTTTGAGGTTGGGATTTGGGTTTTGTTTTGTTTTTTCCCTGAGCTTTTTAGGAAAAAAATTGTCATTGTTTAAGCACCAAGAATTCGTTGAGAACTCATTCCACATACATTACTGCTGGACCCATGGTTTCTCAGACCTTACTTGGATGGCTTAAGGGAGCTTATGGCCACCTTAGTGTTTTTGAGATCTAAGAGTATGCATTTTCAGTAAGTTCCCAGGTAGTGGATGGGAATTTAGTGACCGGGGGCTAGACAGCTGAGTGGCACAGTAATTGCATAGCACACATCAGACTCTGGTTTATCCTGCAGCATGGGAGGGAAAAAGACTTGGAGAATTTAATGGGTCAAAGAAATGAATGGGCCAGAAACAAAGTGTTGGCTGTTATTGACCTGGAGGACCTACACAACACTGTTGAATGGACAGGCTGATCTCATCACATGGATCATCCAAATGTTTTAGTGAGAACTGTAGCTATAAAACTGACCTAGAGATTAGTTAACAGGACCATTGATACAGATTTTTGAGGTCACAAGCGAAATGGTTTTAGGAATTTTTTTAAGGAGACGGTTAAGAATGTTAAACAATGCATTTGGAATTTATTTCTGTTTGAAAAGGATCCTTAAGTAGCTGGGCATGGTAGTACACCCCTGTAATCTCAGCACTCAGGGAGGCAGAGGCAGGTAGATCTCTGTGAGTTCAAGGCCTGAACTACAAAACAAGTCCATGAGAGACAGGCTACACAGAGAAACCCTGTCTCAAAAAAAAAAAAAAAAAAAAAAAAAAAAAAAAAGAAGACATAAAAAGGGGCCTGGTGGTGGTGACGCACACCTTTCATCCCAGCACTTGGGAGGCAGAGGCAGGTGGATATATGTGAATTGGAGGCCAGCCTAGTCTACAGAGAGTTCTAGGACAGCCAGTGCTGCACAGAGAAACCCTGTCTCAAAACAAACAAACAAACAAACAAACAAACATCACAAAAAAACAAAGAAAAAAATTGGATGCTGCCCCCCCCCCAAAAAAAAATCAGGAGAAATTCAAAAGAGGAAAACTCAAGAAATGGATGGATAGTCCAGTTAGAAGCAGCAGCACATGGGAAGCATGGAATATTGGATTTGGCAATAGAGCAGCGTGGTAGGTACCAAAGTATTCATGTTTCTGAGTTGCAGCTCACTGGTAAACTTTTCCTTAAACTTACATGATCCTCATTATTTTCTATACTAAATGTACAGTGCTTTTATTATTAGTTTTTATTTCTGAAAAGCTACTGGTAACCTTCAAATAATTTGAAAGTGGAGGAGTAACAGAAGGTATGTAACAGAGGCTTCTGTCATGAGTAGGTAGTGAGAAAATGGAGGCGGTAAAAAACTAGGACACAGTCAAGATTTGTTTCAGTGTAGTAAAGTAGCCATTATGTTCCTTGTCCTCTTACTGCTTTGTTGTTCAACAGATATCTCAGATCTCCGTGAAGATATCCTGCTGTCCACGACTCAAAGTCCTCCGCCTGGAAGAGAACTGCCTTGAGCTCAGTATGCTTCCACAGAGCATCCTTAGTGACTCCCAAATCTGCCTGCTTGCTGTGGAAGGCAATCTCTTTGAAATAAAGAAACTTCGAGAACTGGAGGGTTATGATAAGGTATATGTTAGCATCTTCTTCATTTCTAGTACCTGCCCCAGAAGAAAAAAAAAAAATGCTGAGATAACTCGGTGATATCTACAGTTAAGCATCTGACAGTTTCATATTTTGGAGGTAGTTTTAAGACTCAGCCAGATTTTGTCAAGATGACTTTCTCCATGTACTGTTTATTGCAAAGCATCTTTTTATGTTTCCTAGCAAAATACATGAGAAAAGTTAATGTGCTTTAATAATTAAGTACATTTTGCTAGATATGGTAGCATGGCTTTAATCCTAGTGCTTGGGAGGCAGAGGCAGGCAGATCTCTGTGACTTCAAGGCCAGCCAGGACTACAGAGTGCGACTCCGTCTCAAAAGAGGGGGCGGAAAGTAACCTTTGTTATGAAAAGAACCTAAGTTAAAAAGTATCCTTGTATTTGCCCATACCAAAATGCCTTATGTATAATTTTCTTTTGTGTTTTTAGTACATGGACAGGTTCACTGCCACCAAGAAGAAGTTTGCGTGATGTTCTCCAGGACCATGGGAACCTTAAAGGACACTGACTTAAAACCTCTGTTGGAATCTGGCTGGGTCAGAGGCTGCTGATATTGGAGACACTCCAGATCACTTAATAACTTTGTTTCCTTTTGAGAACATCTCAGATAAGCTAAAGAGGACTTAGGAGAAGGGGACAGGAAGAGCCTTTGATTTTGAGCCGTGGATAGGGCGGTGGCCAGTGTTGATCTTCACACCATCATTAGCTGGGCTCTAAGAAGCCAGTAGGCGGCTGCTGTTGACGCAGTGAGGGAGCGTGGCCTGGTAACGCAATGACTCCGTGCTACAGCTTGAGCTTTTGTTGAGTTGCGGATTACCAGCTTTCATAAAGCCAGTTACCACAGCATCTTCGTGTTCACACTTCATATTTTTATGGAATTCTAACTCCTGGGAAACTTGGAAGGTTAAGGATGTACTTTTTTGTTCCAGTCCATCAGTTCAATAGCAGTGTTTACACTTGGAACTTGGGATGTACATATGTATGTAGCTATCCTAAAAGAGAGCTTTGTCGGAAGGAGCACCAACACAACAGCCACCGGAGAATGTTTCCCCAAGGCTGCAGTAGCAATTTTTTTTTTTTTAACTATTGCAGGTGCCTTATTGGTAGAGGGCTCTCAAGAGCTAAAACTATATGCAAAAATTGTAATTTTTTTTTTTTTAGACAGGTTTTTGCTATGTAGCCCAGGCTGGCCTCAGACTCACAATCTCCCTGCCTCAACCCCACTAAGTACTGGGATTACAGGCATGCACCACTCTCAGCCTACTTGTAAGATTTTAAATGAATTTTAATAATCAAGATTTTCCTGAAGCTTTGTTAAAAATCATGTGTTACTTCTGGTAATTTCTCCCCTTTTTGTATTTATAACTGCACTAATCAAATTACCTTCAAGAATCATTGCTACAATATTTTAAAATAACCTGTTTATCATGGTTATTCTCTGAATGAGAAAATATACTAAATAAAATATTTTTAATGAACTTTGTCTAGAAGAAATGTTAATTATTTAAAGAAGAATTTTTTTTTTTTAAGAAGAATTTTTAACCTGTTAAGTGGTCCTTTGTTCTCTGAAAGTAAACTGGGTACTGCAAAAAAAAACAAAACAAACGTGTCTTGGAGGGAAAAAAAAAAAAAGGAAACTGGGAAGATATGTTTCGTGCTCTTGTTTGCTTTTATGGCAATGAAATCTTTTGATGTCACAGTCATTTCTGAGGTACAGGCAATCATGCTTAAGAGAATTTCAGATAGTCACTGGTAAGAACATTGTAAAGCTTGCTGGAACTGTTTTCTCAAGTCTTATCTCTGAGCAGTTAGCATTTTACAAAGTGCCTCTCATTTAAGAAATCTGAACTTATAACTTACATGTATTCATTTGTGTTCCCCACTCCTGTAAGAATAAGTAAATACCACCTTTTCTACAGTTTCATTGCATGTCCAAACATACCAGATTTTACTGCTCCAGAATGCCTTCTTGTTACTCAGTCAGAAATGCCCTCTCTCACTTCCTTGGTCCTGTCCGCGTCTAAGCTCCTTCTCTGAATCTAATCCGAATTAATTCCCCATCTGCTGATAGAATGCGTTCCACATCCTATATTTATCTCTCTTGCTAAAGTGCTTAAGGCTAAAAACTATACAAAGGGATTGGAGAGATATCTTTTTAGATTAAAAGTACTTGTTCTTGCAGAGGACCCAGGTTCAGTTCCTATACTACATGGTGGTTCCAACACCCTCTTCTGGCTTCTGTGGACACTAGGCACATACATACATGCAGGCCTAATACCCATACACAAAACCTTAAAAAACAAACAAAAAACCCTACCCAATATGCCTTAAGTTTTAGTTTGGTTTGGACTCCAAAAGCCTGGAGTAAGGTCACAGACTCTGTTCTTAGAGGGATGAAGGTATAGATCCAAGTTTGTTACTTAATAGCTTTCTGGGCAATTTAAATATAATGTAAATATAGGGAATAACGCATTTCTCAAGTACGTTATATTGAAAAGGTATATAAATGTGACACAGCAAGAACTCAATCAAATGAACCATTTATCTTATCTATGAAGAGGCAAAGATAACAACAAATGACCAATCAGTGACTTCAGGATAAAGAACCTGAATATCAATATGAGAAATATAAATCAAATTGGGAACTTAATCAGAATAACTTGGACTTTTAATTTTTTAATGGGAGCACCCAGGAAACCAACATTCAAATCTCTTAAAAATCTGAATTACAATTATTTTATGTGCATGTGTACAAAAGCTTGCATACGCCACACAGCACACGGGGAAGTCAGAGGACAACTTTTAGGAGTTGGCTTTCTTCGACCATGTAGGTCCTAGAGATCAAGCTTGGGTTCTCAGGCTTGGCAGTGCCCTTCCCTGCTGAGCCATATAACTGCCCAGCCCTTTTTTGAGAAGGGTTTCACACATCCCAAGCTGTCCTAAAACTCACTGAGGACGGCCTTGAGCTCCTGATCCTTAGTACTAAGATTGGAGGGGCACGACACCAGACCTGGATTATGTGGTGGTACAGAACTCAACCTAGGGATTCCTGTGTATCAGGCAAGCACCCCATGAACTCAGTGATTCAACATCCACAATCCTAAAAATTTAATTTTAAATGCTCATTATGGGATGTCTAGAATGTAGACATTTTAAGTTAATGGAAGAGTCTCATTGCATAGGTGATAAGCAAAGATCAAGAGTTGTGATGAGAATAAAGGATAAATTAAACTGAAGAAAGGATGAAATAGGTACGGCTGTTCAACTCCTAAGGTAGAATCTGAGCTTTATCATAAAAAACAGTATGAAGTTGGGTGTAGTGACTCAATCTCAGCATCTGTGGACAGAGACTGGTGGATCTCCACAGGTTTGAGGCCAGCCAGAGAACCACGGAGAAAAAAAAAAAGATGCTAGTTTTTGTTTTTTTTTTTAAATTATTTTATGTACATTGTGTTCTGCCTGAATGTATGTCTGTGTGAGGGTGTCAGATGCCCTGGAACTGGAGTTATAGACAGTTGTGAGCTTGCCATGTGGGTGCTGGGAATTGAACTCAGGACCTCTGGAAGAACACCCAGTGCTCTTAACCACTGAGCCATCTCTCCAGCCCTGAGCTGATATTTTTTAAAATTATTTTTATTAGTTTATTCACTTTGTATCCCCCTGTACTTCCCTCCCACCTCCCCTCCCAATCCTACCTTCCCTCTTCCCCACCTGTGTCCCTCTCCCAGTCCACTGAAAAGGGAGGTCCTCCTTCCCTTCCCTCTGACCCTAGTCTATCAGGTCTTATCAAGAGTGGCTGCATTATCTTCTTCTGTGGCCTGGTAAGGCTGCTCCCCCCTCAGGGGAGGTGATCAAAGAGCAGGCCAATCAGTTCATGTCCCCATTACTATGGAGGCCACTTGGATACTGAACTTCCATAGGCTACCTCTGTGCAGGGGTTCCAGGCCATCTCCATGAGTGGCGGGATGCTAGTTCTTAACTGTAGTCACAGATATTGTATTCAAGGTCACAGAACTAGAAAATGAACCGAAAACTGAACCCAGATGACTCCGGCTTGTGCTAACTACTTGCTATCATATCTCAACCATAATGAAAAGGTGGGCATGATGGCTTAGCAGGCAAAGGTCCTTGCTGCCTGCTTCTGTACTTTCTTTTCTGGGGAATGATTATGTTGTCTTTCATCAAATTTAGACAAATATCTGAACAAAAGGAGCTCCCTCCATTCTAGTGAAAACAGTTATCATTCATGACCTTTAAATCTGATAGGCACTGTTCTAAGTTTTGTTGTTTTATTGGGGGTTTTGGGAGGCAGTGTACTGTTTTTTGATATAATTTAACTTAGGCTGGCCCACAACTCACCGTGTAGATCGATTCTGCCTCAGGTTCCCAAATGTTGGGATTACCAGTGTGGCTCCTCTAAGAGATTTCTGGGCATCACCAGTCTGTGAATTAGGTTATGAAGCAGGAGTCACTAATTCCCATTCTCAGGGATGGAAACCAAGGCACAGAAATAGGCACATATTCTCACAAGCCAGAAAGAGCAAAGGGGAAACTGACAACTGGCTGCTTTACTGTGGATTCTCACCAAATTTTCCTTGGATACTGCCTATCAGCACCATTCCTTTAGCCAGATTAGCATGTTAAGTTTTTAAATGCTTTTGAGAAAAGCACTCTGTTTTTTTAAGATAGGGTTTCTCTGTTTAACAGAACACTGGCTGTCCTGGACTAGCTTTGTAGATCAGGTTGGCCTCAAACTCACAGAGATCCACCTCAGCTCCCTAGTGCTGGGACTAAAGGCATGCATCACCACACACAGACCAAAAAGCACATTCAAATACAGCACAATCTGGTGTTCTATCCTTAGTCACACTTTATACATTTAGTACCTTTATCTGACAAACTATCCATTCTGAAATAAAACATTTCTATTTTGCTTCTTCAGCCTTTGAATGTTTTTTTGTTGGCCAATCTTCTTCAGTACGTGACTTGTAATTATTACTCAGATCCTCACATAATAACATAAGTTCAAATGACTAAGACAAGTAACTAAATGGACTCATGACAAGCCATAGAAACTTCTGTAAACGTCTCTAGTAAAAATTAGAAAAGAGCCAATTGTAGCTTTCTACTGGAGTGCTTGATGCACTGACATCTTTATTTGTTAACAAAAGCGGATAAAATGATTTCTCCACAAGTAAGTCATAGAAACATTACCTATATGAAAAAACAATACCATTAATTACAAAATTTAATTGTAAGAATCAAGCAATGGTTATTGGTCAAACCAATCTACTTTAGGAGCTCTAAAGTATACAGATGCTAATTTTTAAACAACAGTGACAAACACCAGTTCAGCTTTCCTAACACTTCAGGATCTGCATAAACAAGATTCTGTGCGTAAGGTGGAGAGAGTGGCAGTACAGTCATCAATAATTAACCCAAAGGCATAATTTTCCAAACTTTTAGTAACAAATTATAACTTTTTAAATGTCTAAAACTACAAAAAAACTCAAAGCAATCTATTGTTCTACCTGAGATCAAAACAACTTTTCTTTTTCATATCTAAATATAAATCTTAGTATTGAGGTAAATCTGAATTCACATGATAGACTGTCAAAGTTTCCCCAAAAATTTGAAGCCCTGCTTTAGTGAGGAAGTCTCCTACTTCACATATATATGTACATCTTTTAAATGATGGCAACTCCATGAGGTTAACAGGCCTACAAAGGGACCACGATATGACATTTTGGGAATAAAAGGCATTCATTGATAGTGTTCCTGAATGTGCGTTTGGAACGGGATTCCGGAACCTATGTACATACACAAATCACTACAGGTTCAGGAGTGAGGCTCACTTCCGGAACACTCACTGCACGCTCCTCTGGAGCAGGTGCTGGAAAACAGTGAGGCGCACATGTGTAAAAGCGCCCAGCCAAAGCACTAGCCTGTTTGTTTGTTTGTTTGTGATCTGTAGTTTCTTTAATGAGTCAACAACTTCCTCTTGCTCTTTACCACCAAACCAAAGCAAACAAACCAACCAACCAACCATGACAAAAGCTACTTATATAGCTGCCTCTTCGCGGCTCTTTGGCAATGCTTCCAAATCTTGAATGCAAAAGAAGTGAAGAGGATGAGGAGACTGTGGTGATGAATGGAAGACAGCCTAAGAGTGTGAACTGAGAAAGACTGTGAGAAAGCCTGAGCAAGAACCTACCCCCAAAGGACAGAAAATAAGAAAGTGGGGAGGCAGTCCTCCTCTGGTTCTTCTTTCACAATCTTTCAAACTCTAAACAAGTAATGATGTAGCAGGAGCTAGAGCACTGAGTAACAGGTAAAGAAGTACAGCAGTGTTTTAGCCATCAATGAGTTTCTTTGCTCTTGTATTGGCAACGTCAATACGATCCTTGTTGGTGTCAGCCTGAAAAAAGAGAGAGAGGAAAAAAATCTTAGCATTTCTTCAAAAAACAAGCCATTTTAACACAAGTTAAATTGGGAGATGTGGGTGTAGCTCAGTTAATTAATGTGCATGGGTGTTTTCCTGCCACAAAGGTGGTGCTGGATCCTTGGAACTGGAGTTAGCCACTGTATGGGTGCTGGGAATCATTCCCCGCTTTGCTTGAAGAGCAACAAGTGCTGTCCCCGTCATCTACCCCCACCTCCAGGTTTACAGACACACACTACCATGTGTGGCTTGTACATGGACACTTGGGGGCCAAACGCAGTCCTCAGGCTTGCATGGCAGGCACTTTACCAGCCAAGTCCTTCCGAGTCCCCCCTATTTACTTATTTTTTTAAGACTGGATCTTATTCCCTGAATTGGCCTCGAGCTTTGAGTTCAAGCGATTCCCACTCCCCTAGAGTGGCTGGAATTACAGGCACGCAACACCATGTCCAGCTCATTTTCCACGCAATAAAGTATGGCAAGAATGCTCTCTGAGCAGGAGTCTCATTTGGAGCTGCTCTAGTTCTGACCAAAGAACCAAAATAACTTTGCCAAAGATCTTTCGAACAGATGTACTGCCACCCACAGAAGCATCTAAATTAAATGATGTGTAATCTATACGCTAAACCCAGAGCACAGTATTACAAGCATCTTAGGAACCATCATTTACTTTAATGGTACATCCTGTAAGTGGCTCCAGTTCAAGTGCCTGAAGAGGCCAGAGGGTGAAGTTGTTATAGGCAGCTGTGAGCCATCTGATATGGTTGCTGGGAATGAACTCGGGTCCTCTGTAACAGTAGTAAATGCTCAGTATATTGTTTTTGGTTGCCTGGTTTTGAGACAGGGTTCATCTATGTAGCCCTTGCCATAGGTAGACCAGGCTGGCCTTGAATTCACAGAGATCCATGTGCCTCTGCCTCCCCAGGGTTGACAATACTGGTGTGTGTCACTACACCCGGCTTACCCAGTACATTCTTAAAATTTAAATTCTTTTAAAATTACATTTATTTACTTATTGTGTGCATGTGCATGTATGCGGAAGTCAAAGGACAATTTGTCAGAATTAGTTCTGTCCTCCTACCATGTTGCTCCCAGGAATCAAAATCAGGTTGTCAGGCCTGGGGCGGGCACCTTCACTCCCCTCGCCACCTCACAAGCTCTAGACGATCAACTCTTAGCTTCATGTGGAGAGTTTTAAGTTAAACATCATCCCAGGCTGTGCCTTCACAAAATACCATGGACCACATAGCATGACTGGCTGCCACCTCACCAACACGGTCTGAGTAAATTGTATTTATCTCTCTTTCTCTCAGATATCATTACTAAGTATCACTAGATTGGCTATCTCATTTTCTTGTGTGTGTGTGTGTGTGTTTTAACCTTTTCTGTGATCCTCTGTATTTGCTGGTTTTGAGCATCAATTTCATTGCCCATATCCAGAGCCATGTTCTTAAGGTTGCCTAGGATGCTGCCCACTTGAGTCAGGTTCTCTTCCATCTCGTCTTCTCTGGCATCATTAGTTATGCTATCACAAAAAGAGAGTTAAATCAGACCTCTTTGCTAAGTTACAAATGGACTAAACCTGGAATTACTGTAAAAGTTATTAAAATGATGCCCAACATGTGAGTGAAATGTAGATGATTGCTTTGGAGAAACAGTTTACACTGAAAGAAAGGAACAAGGAAGAGAGGAAAAAGAGAAAGGAAAGAAAGGCAACCAAGCAGGTAAGCAAGATGGCTAGCGAGACAGGCTAGCTAGATGGCTCAGCAGGTGAAGGGCTTGCTGCCCAAATCTGATGACCTGAGTTCAATTCCTAGAACCCATGTAAAGGCAGACTGTCTTGGGGAAAAAAAAAAAAAATCTCAGCATATAGTCTAGGATATCTTAGATTTCACTTTTCCCAGACTGCCCTTGAATTTGGCAAATCTCCTGTCTCATTCTTTGAAGTGCTAGGAATACCAGGAAAGCAGCTTGTTTTTTTTTTTTTTGTTTTTGTTTTTTTTTCTTCTACCCCAGAAGAAACCTTATGATGCTACCTTGGCCAGACTGCAGCTCCTGGGTAAAAGCAATCCTCCTTCCTCAGCCTCCAAACCCATCTGAATCTTTATTTTGTTTTTTTTCCAAAACAGGGTTTCTCTGTGTAGTACTACCTGTTGCGGAACTCAGCTCTGTAGACCAGGTTGGCCTCACAATCACAGACTGAAGGTGTGTGACACTGCTGCCTGGCTTGTTTGGTCTTGAACTTTCACATTTACTTATCTGTCGTGTGTTTGTGTACATGCATGTGCACATGTCACAACATGTGAGTGGAGATCAGAGGATAATTTATGTGAGTCAGTTCTCTCCTTTTCTCATATGTGAACTGGGAATTGAACTCAGGACAGCAGGCTTGGCTTGGAGGCAAGCTCCTTTACCTGTTGAAACATCGTACTAACCCCCAATCTGTCTTTAAAAAACTTTCAAATCAATCTGTGCACACTAAGATCCAAGCTACTGCTACTCTAAAGTAAACTGGAAAACTATGGTCAGAAGGCATTACTAGGAGGCGCAGAAGGTAGGGTATGGGACTTGACAGAGCTCTATGGAGGGTGTATCTTGGTCCGCCTTTCTCGTATCTGCTTCTCACTGCTTACTGACTGCAAAAAGTAAAAAACAGCCATATTCACCATATTCTTGCTGCCATCATTTTCTTTCTAAGCAACCATGAACCCTTTAAAGTGGGAAGCCAAATAAACCCACACTTTGAAAAGAGAGGAGGAAGGGAGGGAGCTGACAGATTACTTGCTGAGTTAGGGCTTGTGGCTAGCTACACCCAACTCCTAAAATGAACCCTTCATTGGAAGTGGTGTAGAAATTCAAAGAAGAGCTGGCATACCGTTTAATGTATCCACCGCTGGCTGCTCCTGTGGTTTGCTGAGGCTGACCATTTGTTACCCGGCCTGGCTGCTTAGATACTACATTGCTAGGTGAGTTGTTTTCACCATCTCCCCATGTTGCCTTATAGTTCTTTCCAGATTCAAAGTTCTTCGTCCTTTTATAAACGTTAGAAATACAGACAAACAGAAAAGCAGGGAAGAGAACTTAAAATTATTAGTACTTATCACCTTGAATATGATGCTCCCATTTCTGGCTAAAACTAGGTTGTCTGCACTATGCCCAACAGCAAAAGAAGGAAGGGATGAATCAGATCAATCTACCAACATTTAATCTTCTATTTATATATATATAATTATTTTATTTATTTTTGGCTGTCTTGGAACTTGCTTTGTAGACCAGACTCAGAGAGATCTGCCTGTTTCTGCCTCTCCAGTGCTAGGATTAAAGGCATGTACCATTACCATTTAATCAATTTTAAAATTAAAAAAAAATAAAATTTCCAAATCTCTGGTAAGCCATTAGCAAGTGGAAAGCTGAAACTTGATATTTCAAGTCTTTCAGCTTATAGCCTTTGCCATTAAAAAAAAAAAAAAAAGTCATTGGTTACTAAGGAGGAAAATTCTTTGGGAAAGATGGTTCGGGATATACAAAGAGGTTCCTTGGAAGAACACAAGAGGTTGATGTATGGGTTCAAAGAAGTCCAAGAAGTACCCACCTTCGTCCCCTGTTGTTTGAACCAGAGTAGTTCTAGATGAGGCTTTGTTGTTTTAGTTTATGGTTTGCTTTTATCTTTTGTGTCAGGGTTTCTTGGTGTAGCTCTGGCTATCCTGAAAATTGCTCTGAAGACCAGGCTGGCCTCAAATTCAGAAATTAGCCTGGCTCTTCCTCCAGAGTACTGGGATTAAATGCATGCACCACCAAACCCACCTTTTATTTGTGGGTTTTTTGTTTGTTCGAGACAGGGCTTCATATAGCCCAAACTAGCCTCAAATTCACTATGTAGTCAAAGATGGTCTTGAACTCCTCCGGCCTCTGCCTTCCTAGGGCTGGGATTATAGGTGTATAGCATTTTACCAACTCAACAAAAAGCCCCCAAATCCGGGTCTGTTTTAGTGGTAGAAGTGTGTATTACATTTACTTTTTAAATTTCTTTTAAGAATAAACAAAATGTCATGAAGGAAAGACATGGATTATTTCTAGACCAGACCACCAACTGATAGATTAATGTGCGGCCACATTGGTACCTGTTACAAAAGAAAACTTACTTTTCCTCCATTGAAAAAGAAAGAGAAAAGAGAAAAAAAAGCCAGGCGGTGGTGGTGCACACCTTTGATCCTACATTCAGGAGACAGAGGCAGGCAAATCTCTGTGAGTTCAAAGCCTGCCTGGGTTTACAAAGAAAACTTCAGGACAGCCAGGGCTCTTACACAGAGACTCTGTCTCAAAAAATTATACAAAGGCCCAGGAAAGTGCTTTTCTTGTCTTTAGACACAGGCCCTAACTATACAACCAAGGCTTCTGACCCATCTCCTGCTTCCATTTTCTAAGTGCTAGGATTACAGGTTTCTGCCACCTCACTTTGTGTTATGGGACTTCAAAACTGTCTTTTACTGATTATTTTGTTACAGTTAAGCTTTTACTTAACTTAAAACTTATTTTTAGTCTTACTTTTCTATTAACAAGAATTAAGCACAATATAATATAAGTCTTATTAATCTTAGGTTCAAGGAAGTTTTTTAATCGCAAAAACTGCAAAGCAGAGAATAAATGTTATGGAAAAAAAAAAAGTGATCTCCTGTTGGGCAATGGTAATGCACACCTTCAATCCTAGCACTCAGGAGGCAGAGGCAGTGGGATCTCTGAGTTCAAGACCAGCCTGGTCTATAGATTGAGTTCCAGAACAGCTAGGGGTACATAGTGAGACCTTGCTTCAAAAACAAACAGGTGGTTTCTTCTTTCAAAAGCATATGAAGATTCAATTCTGGCAGAGCTAGAACTGGATCTTATCCATTACTTTTACAGAAAGACACTCATAGCAGAGTTTGATGGCACATGCCTGTAATCCGAGTACGCAGGCAGCTAAGGCAGGAAATCATTAGTTTAAGACCACCCTGGGTTATATTGTGACACCTTGTCTCAAAACTAAAAAGGAGCTGGGTAGTGGTGAGGCACACCTTTAATCCTCGCCCTCAGAAGGCAAGGGCAGGCAAATCCATGATTTCAAGGCCACTCTGGTCTACAGAATGAGTTCCAGGATAGCCAGGGCTACACAGAGAAACCCTCTCTCCAACCCCCTCCCCCCAAAAGCCCCCATACCACCCACCCAACCAAACAAACAAAAAGCAAACAAAAGGAACCCCCAAAGCTCTAAAAAGGTCTGTTAAGGTAGCATAGTGGGAAGTGCTTGCTGCCAAGCCTGACAGCCTGAACTCAGTTCCCAGAATCCACACAGAGAAAGAAGGCAAGAAGTTCCTGTAAGTTGTTTTCTGACCTTCACATACAGGGTATTCCAAAGGCACAATTTATATTTAGAAATATCAGCTGGTAGTCTGGGAGTACACATGCACCAGAGCGCACATGTAGTGGACAGGACAACTGGCCTTCAACATTGTTGAGGCAGTCTTGTATCTGCTGCTGCTGCTGCCCACCCTGCAATTCTCCGTCCGTCCTGGTCTGGGGGTGCTGGGACTGCAGATACACACCATCAAATAATACTTTCACTTGCCTCCAGGGATGGAAACTGGGTTATGCAGCTTGGGCAACAAGTACTTCTATCTACTGAACCGTCCATCTGACAGGCCCTTACAGGATAAATGTATGAATAGCAAAAGCTAGTTTGAAAAGCACTTTTCTTGGTTCTATCTTAAGTTCTCATACTTATTTTTCATGTTTATACTACTGTTTCTGTCAATCAATTAATTGGCCATGTTAAATCTTTCCTGGAACAAGGTGAGATATCTGTTTATTTTTGTTATGGGTTTTTTTTTGTTTGTTTGTTTGTTTGCTTTGTTTTTGTTTTTCAAGACAGTGTTTCTCTGTGTAGCCTTGGCTGTCCTCAAACTCACAGAGATCCACCTGCTTCTGGCGCCCAGAGTGCTGGGACTACAGGCGAGCATCACTATGTAAGATACCTAGTTTTGGGGCCTGGAGAGATGGCTCAGTGGTTAAGAGCACTGGCTGTTCTTCCAGAGGTCCTGAGTTCAATTCCCAGCAACCACATGGTGGCTCACGACCAGCTGTAATGGAATCTGATTCCTTCTTCTGGTATGTGTAAACAGAGCATTCATATACATAAAATAAATAAATCTTTTTAAAAAAGCTATCTAATTTTTTAAATTAATATTTTTATGTAATTGTTTGTTCATTTAGTGAATGAATTTGTCATGTATACTTTGTTAACATATAGGTTCCAGGCAAAAATCTAAAGCAGAGTAATAATACACAAAATAAACATTATATCTCAAATTTACAAAAAAAGAGTAAGTGGCTTCTGGGTGTTTGTACATTTGTGGTGATGGGGAATAATCCCAGGGCCTCAAAAGTCCTCACACCCTACCGCTGAGCTACAGCTCTCAGCACAATAGCCAGAAGTACCAAATGAGGTAATAGAAGTAGGGCTTTTATTAGGATGCCAGATTGCAGAACAGATGGGAGAGTGTGACGAATTCAAAAGTGACTGATAAAACCATCACACATTGGCATGCCTGCAAACCCAGCACTCTGGAGACTGAGGGAGGCCAGTCTAGGCTAACAAAGTGTGATCCTGCCCAAAATCAAAACCAAAAGTGACTAATGAGATTTTTACCTTAAAAAAAAAAAATGGTATTATTATTAATTTTTTTCTTTGTTGTTTTTAAACAGCCCTGGCTGTCCTGGAACTCTCTATGTAGACCTTGAACTCAGATCCATTTGCCTCTGCATCCCCAGTGCTTCCATTAAAGGTGTGCTACCCCATGCCTGACACATTTAAAACTGATCCCACTTTATTCTAAATGGGATTTATGATGACTAGTTTGACAATTCCTTGATCTGATAGTGGCCTAAATCAAGGGAAATGAAAAAGCAGAGAAGCAATACGCAAATAGAAACACTCTTCGGGAATCAGGATGTATGAGCAGATCTAATGGAGAGGAAGGACAATCAAACTTCTATGAACAGAGAGATGCAGTCAGTCTGAATCCTCCACCCTTAAAAGAACTAGACTGTAGCCAATGACTGCTAAGATCAACAATTTAAAGCTTATGGAATTTCAAGAGTGTTTTTATTCTGCTAATATTAACGTTACTTAGGAAAAACAGTTTTTGGTGCATTAGTCTTAACAGAGTTATAACAAATGAAGATCCTTTTGTTAAGTCCATCTTTTGTCTGACAGCACCCATCACGAACAATTTCACTTCACATTACACACAACACACCTTTAAGACACTTTCTATCATTCACAAAATCCATGCGCATGCACAGAAAAGCCATTTGAAGCATCACCTTTGGGCAGCTGGTTAGCAGCTCAGCCTGCACCTCAAGACTGCATCTTAAAGTTCCCTTTGATCAGCTACTGAGCCCGGCTTTTGATGTTAGATCTTCATTTTTAGTAAGCAAGAAAGGAAGAGATTAAGTGAGAGAATGAGATGCAGACAACAGTGCATGTCAATCAAACAGAACAGGAGCAGGTTCAGACTTTAAACACATGGTGCATTCAAATGCCTGCCTGGTTTCAAAGAAACAACCACCATCTGAGAATCTAGATAAAGAGAAAAACAAGAAAACATTTTAAACAATTGCATACTTCATTTTTCCTGGGCGTGTCCAAGGAATAACATTCCTCACTAAAATTCTAAAGCTTATTATGAGCAGGAAGTACTAGCTGGCAGCACTGAAGTTCCCTTAATCCTCCCTAGTGACTGCTGGTTGTGTGTCAGGCCCTGAGTGTGATCAAAAAAGTATACTAAGGCAATAGCTTTGGCGACATATACAGCTTATAGCTAACTAATCCCAGCATCATGAAATAAAGTAAACAAAAAGTAACTCTTGCCTTCCAGGGTATTACTGTGAAAAAACAACTGTGGATGAGAGAAGGGGAGGGGAGTGAGGGAAGAGGAAGAAAGAGGATGGGGGGAGAAAGGAAGGGAAGATTCTATATTGCTCTAGCAGTACTGCTAGACTGAATTCAGGACTCAAAGAATGAGCATGCTGTGTGTGCTATGTTATGGCTAGCTAGGTGCTGACTCTGATTAAAACAGACTGGGAGGTAAGGTTAGGAACATCTAGGCAGTGAAGGAGATGGAGACAGTTGAGGACAAGCGACATAATGTTAGCCCGAGTCTTGGCGGTGTACAGACCCAAGGAGAATGAAAGCTCCCCTAGAATCTTTCAGCAGGGCTCTGCCCCCTCTTCATGGAACAGCTGTGCTGTCACAGCAGTCCTTGACTCCATCTGCTAAGGAATGATTTTTCTCCACCCACTGATAAAGAGTTCTGCCAATGTTGGAGGTGAAAGTCTATTTCAGGCCCATGTTCTACCTTCTCGCCCTGTGTTCAAGAAAAGCTTGCCCACACATGGCAGGAACACACAGGGGGAAAAAAAAAATCAATACACCCATTGCTCTATCATCCCTATTCTCTCATCTTTGACCTTTTTAGAATTCATTGCTATTCTGTTTATTAACCTACAATTTAGAAACTAGACTGAAGAGGAGTCTTTCTCTTTGTTCAAAGAATTCACCTACTTTCATTCCCTCATTCTTCCATGGAACATAGAAGACAGGAACAGAAATTTGTAAAATATACCTAAGAGTTTGAATTGCACTATGTAGGCACTTAGAATTTGTTTGCTTAAATCATTCTGCTAAACCTGTTTGACACATTATAGTTTTTGTTGCTATTGTTGTTTTGGGAATTCTATTGTTTGAAGACAGGGTCTCACGTGGCCCAGGCTGCAAATGAACTCGGTATGTACAGGATGATTTTAAGGGCTAGGATTATAAGCATGAACTACCAATCCTAATTGTATGCAGGGCTGGGACTCAAACCCAGGGCTTTATTCATGCTAGGGAAACACTCTTTGTACCAACTGAGTTACATCCCCTGTAACAGCTGTTAAACTATAAACTTTAAGAGAATCAACCAAATACTAAACAGGTCAATGGGCTTGTATTAAAGCTCAGAAAAACACTGTCAAATCCTAACTCCTTACAGCAAAACAAAACCAGAAGTTGACCAATAAGCAACTTAATCCTTTTATTTAGTGAAAACTGCACAGAGGGCCTGAAGAGATGGCCCAGGTGTTAAGAGCACTGGCCGCTCTTCCTGAGCAACTCCAAAACCCACATGGCAGCTCACAGTCTTCTCTAACTACAATTCCAGAGATCTGATGGACACCAGATACGCACACTGGGCTCAGATATCAAGCAGGCAAAACACCCATAAACACAAAAAGTTTTAAAAATTGGACAGAAAAATATTATAACATAAAGGCACTTATCTGAGCACTTATCTGAGCGCTGGGGACATGGCTCAGCAGTTAAGAACATGTACTGTGCAAGGTGAGTGCACATCCCTAGAACTTACGTTAGAAACAACACAAAGCAAAAATCAAAATTGTACTTCCCTGGAAATACATAAGTGTAAGAGACTTAAACTCATTTGAAGGTAAACTCTGGGATTATACACACCTGGCACAACCAGCTAAAAGTACTGTTTATGAAGCTCTGTAACTTAATCTCTAGATACTCATCTCAATTAAAAGTTCAAAGAACTCCTAACAGGAGATTAATGGTTAACTGCCTCAGTCTCAGCTTCACTTTATCTATTAATATCTATTAATAGTAAAAAAATTAGAGTTTATCTCATCCAAGAATAAGACAAGAATACAAATTTCCACAATGGAATAAAACAAAATGAGTGACTGGGCATGATGGTACACATCTTTAATCCCAGCACTAGGGAGGCAGAAGCAGGCAGGTGTCTGAGTTCAAGGTCAGCCTAGTCTATATAGAGTTCCAGGCCAGCCAGGACTACATAGTGAGACCCTGTCTCAAGGAAGCAAAACAAAACAAAACGAGTGACGTCTTTTGTGTCAAGCACAACCTCACACAGTATGATAAAATCTTCTCTGTCTACTAGAGATGTCTTGTGTTCCAAATGTCAGCTTGCCACAACTTGAAATCACCTGAGAACCTCAAATGAGGAACTGTCTAGACCTGGTTTGCCTATGACCATGTCTGTGGGCGGCACCATTCCCTAGGCAGGGGGCCTGAACAGTGTAAGATGATGGAGAAAAACTAGGTGAGAACAAGCACACAGCACACAGCACTTATTCCTCTCTGTTCCTGGATGAGAGGTGGCTAGCTGCTTCAAGTTCCTGCCTTAATGTCCCTTCAGTGATAGACTATAACCTGGAACTGTAATCCAAATAAACTTCCCTGCCCTAAGTTTTTTTTTTTTTTTCCCTCAGGGTGTTTTATCACATAAACAAAACTAGAACACACCACCCATCAGTCTTCTCTGATTCTCCCCCTTTATGCTTCAAATGCAAGCAATTGATTTAAAGTGAATTCCTATTGATTTATAACTTCATCTCCAACCCCACTGATAAAGCCTAACCTCAAAGACCCAAATAATGAATTACTTTTAACTAGCTTCCTGGTTCACAGACAACAAATGTCAATCCACTCTATCAGCTCCTTAACTCTGGCATTGACATCTGAGTTTCTCTACCAGCTACTTACATCTCTTTGTCTACTTTTCATCTGAATCATGTAGCTCAGTTAACCTTCCTGTCCTCCCATGTTCTATTTCTGTTTGTTTTCTAGTGCTAAGGTCTCCCACTCGGTCTCATTCCCAGACCCTTTCCTCCACACTCAACCAAATCCTTTCTGTGACAAAACTCAACTCATACCCTCCCTCTTCTGTAAGGTACCATCTAATTATGCCCGTTTATACCCTTAGCCTTGGTAGACCCCACAGACCCCACAGCACCTAACCCTAGCTCTAACACACTGTCTTTTCAAGAAGTCCATTCTTTAACCCTTGAATGTCTGGACACGAATGCCTTCTGTTCTATATCCTCCAGACGTGTATTTCCCAGGCTTTTTGTATCCAGACTGAAATTGAGGTTTGCTACAAGAGTTGGTCAATTTAGCCATGGTTTTCTATGAACCTTCCTGCTTATACGAAAATCTTGATATTCAGTTGCTTCTTAACAAAGCTGCTAATTCAGGCCCAGTTATCCAGTTATACTTCTGACTTTATTTTCAGGGTAGGGAGCAGGCATGGATAGTCTCATGTACTGATTTATTTTTAAAAGGTCTTGATTACTCGACTTACCTATTACAAGGGCAGACGCAGAGGCCACAGCACTTGTTGAGTTCTGTTAAAGTCTTCTCTGCCTCTCTCATGTCTTTATTTATTTGTTCCATGCCTTCTTCTATGCGATTTAGTTGTTCTAAGAACAAGTGGTGGTGTTACATTCACAGATGTGCAGTGCAGATGCTAATGTTACCCAGCAGCAGGCTGCAGCTCCCACTATCACCTGCCAGTGACTGTTAGGATCGGGAAAGCAGCCCCCTAAGGCCCCTGGGGCCTCACCGCACAAAGATCTGTTTGCCAACAGGATGTGAGGGTGCTCAGAAACCACTCCTACAAGTAGACCAGATTCCCAGCATTTCTAGCATTTAGTCACTAAACTACTGAAAGCTAGATGGGATTAACTAAGGCCAACAAAACTGGATGTTTCTAAATGCATCAGAATTTTGACCGGTTTTGGACCTTGCTATGGAAGAATGACCTAAGAATATCACGTTTGATATTCATGGGGCAAATGCACATAAGCCGTGCTTGTCTAAGACAGACTTGTATACGATTGGGCACTGTTGCCTCTCATCCTAATCCAGCAGTGACCATGAGCCCACAATTGGAATCAGGAGAAAAGAAAGAAACATTTCTCTCTCTCTTCCTCTTTGGTTTTTCCAGACAGGGTTCCTCTGGGTAGCCTTGCTGTTCCTGGACTTGCTTTGTTCGAGGCTGACCTCAAACTCACAGAGATCCGCCGGCCTCTGCCCACCCGGGTACTGGGATTACAGGCATGCGCCACCGTGCCGGCAACATATTACTCTTACATATTACATATTACAAAGAGAAAGCTGTATTTTATAAGTGGCTGATTTCACAGGGAGTTTTGGCATTCTAAGTCAAATTCAGAGTTTCCTTCAATGACGTCAACTCACCCCCTTGCTCATCCAGCATAGTGATGGTCTTGATTCCTGCATCCTGACTCTAAAAGGGGAAAAAGAAAGATAAAAATACAAGAACACAACCCAAAATAACAGCAAAACTTGCAAAGATTGACAAATGACAAGAGAGAGTAACATCAAAAAACAAGTTCTCAGAACTAGTGTGACAGACAGAACGGGCTGCCTCAGACCAACACACACATTAACCCCTACAGTAGCTAAGTCACAAGCTGTGGAAAATTCATCTTACCTGTCAATATCCCCATACTTTCAAAGAAAAAACAGAAATGGCTTATTAGTGCATCACTGGACAGTCTTCAACAACTGCGGGTTTCAAATAACACCAACTCCAGCTAGTGCTGGAGTTAGTATGGAGTTCCACCACACATTTTTATACTCAAAGACTGAGTATTTCTTACCTCGATAGCTAAGCCCAGGATTCTCCTCGTACTTTCCAGAGACTAGAAAAAAAATACAGAGTTAAAGCATTCCAAAAAATATAGGGAAACAAACTAGTCAGAGGCTATATTTATGACGCTACTTGTTAAATTTTGCCAGCACATCCTCCTCCTTACAAGAAAGCAAAGAAATTAGAGTGTTCCATTTTCATTTTCTTCCAACTAGACACTCCTTAGGAGAGACTTCAGATGGAGTTTCATGCAGGTAGGCAGAAATAAGTCTGCTACACAGATACTAAGGAATCATTAAAGTTCAAAATTCCTTCCAGAATTGCAAGTAATTGTTAAATACTAACCACCTTAAAGGGACCAAGAAGCAGCCAAAGCGATCTCTATAAAGACACTTTCACTTTTCTACTGTGAAAACGGAAATAGGCCTGCAAAATGGCTCCAGAAGGAAAGGTACTCCACCCCCTACCAGCACGACCACCTGGGTTCTGTTCCTGGAGCCCACATGACAGATGGAGAAAACTGACTCTTGCAGGTTGAAATCTGATCTCCACATGCATGAGACAAGCTCAAACACACGCACACAAAACCCAAATGGGTTAAATGTAATAAAAATTAAAATAAAATTAAAAAAAAGAAAAAAAGCCATTTACCTCATCAGTAACCTGGTGGGCCCTTAGCTGAATTTCTTCTGATGATAGATTATCCATGATGAATCAAACTCAACTGGACACAGAAACAGAAATATGGATACTCTAGAAAAATAAGGATATACAAAAGTTTGAGGAAAAAGCACAGTTATGGGATTTAGGTACTTACTGGCCAATCTTATTACCTGTCCACCTATACTACAGTCAGGAACTCAGGCTTAGAAGAGACATGGATATTTAATGCTATCAGTACAAGAAGTAAACCCAAGACCCAGGAGAAATACCCTGTTTAAGACAAGCAACCATATATTCTAAGTGGCTTAAACTTGTTATGGAGCTGAGGATGAGCTTGAACTTCTGGTCCTTCAGAAGTCCCTGCCCATCTGGTGCTGGGAATATAGCTGGTTTATATGTCAGTGGAGACTGAACCCAGGGTTTCATGAATGCTGGGCCAGCCATTCTACCAGCTAAGCCATACCCCCAGGCACGGGTGAAGTATTCTTTCCAATGAAAAGTGGTCCTCGGCCTTAAAAAGCAAAGCATAAAAAAAAAAAAAAAAAAAAAAAATAAGCTTTGAGAAACTATTAAACTTAATCCTCGGGCCAGCAAGATGGCTCGGTAGGTAGAAGCACTTGGTATGAAAGCCTGACCACCCATGGGCACTGAGGTGGCTCACAGGTAAAGGTGCTTGCCATGCAAGCCCAGAGACTTGAGTTTGATCCTGGAACCCATGAAAGGTGGAAGGAGAGGACTGAGTCCACAATGTTGTCCTCTGCCTTCCATGCGCTATGGCATGTGCGTACCTGCACTCCAGGAACACATCATATACACAAAGTAGTAAGTTTCTTCCTTTTTATTTTTTTTTTTGGAGACAGGGTTGCAGCTGGTCTTCGCTACTTTATGGGTTCTTCTTTTTCCTCCTCTTTACCCCTCTACCTCATTTCACCCCCTGCACTAGATAGGAGAGAAAGAATTGGGGGAAGAAGAAGGGTTGAGGATGAGAGAGAAAGAGATCCTTGAATCTTATTTCTTTCTTCTTGTTTCTCTTTTGAGCACAGACTACTAACAAATTACAACCAATCCCCAGGAACAACCAACAGCACCACTCTTGGGGTCCTAGGATTTAACACCCTCTCAAAAGTTCCCAGAATTCTAAACATCACACATTTTCAGGAACTGTCTGCAGCTGACAAAAACCGTGCCTCTGCTTGAGCCAAGAGGCAAATCACAGTCAGCTTCTGGACAGTCTGCAGCAGCCTCATATCCCCATACCTGGGATTAAAATGAAAATACATTCTTCAGCAATATTTCTGTGTTGTTTAAAGAAACCAAAATTCCGGAATTCTCAATACACAGGGTCTTGCTTTGTATGTAGCCCTAGATGGTCTAGTACTCATTCTGTAGAACAGGCTGGCCCCAAACTCAGAGAGATCCTCCTGCCTCTGCATACTGAGTGCTAAGATTAAGGGCATGCAACACTATATATGGATACATAAATTAAAAAAAAAAAACATAAAATGAATTCTTGTTTGTACAATGTTCTTTATTATTATTGTTGTGGAGACAGGCTCTCACGCTTCTGAGGGTGGCTTCAAACTGGATATGCAGCCAAGGATGACTTTGAATTTCTGCTCTTGTTCCCTCCCTGGTGTGTGCCACTATGCCTGGTTTATGTAGTGTTGGGGACTGGCTTTGTGTTAGACAAGGACTGTGTCAACTGAGTCACACCCTCCTCAATCCCTGTAACAGTGTTCTTTAAAGCTCATCGGAATCTGGCAAAGCAATAAAGAAAAGGCACTCAGGTAAACAAACTGTCTCAGTTTGGAGATTATTGCGGTGAAGAGACACCATGACCACACCAAGTCCTAGAAAGGAAAACATTTCATTGGGGTTGGCATACAGTTCAGAGGTTTGATCCATTATCATCAGATGGGAAGCATGGGGACATGCAGGCAGACATGGTGCTGGAGAAGGAGCTGAGCCCTCTGTACCTGGACTCACAGGCAGCGGGAAAGAGACTCCCCTCCTCCAACTAAGTCACACCTCCTGAGAGTGCCACTCATATGGGCCTATGAGGGACATTTTCTTTCAAACAATCACAGAAACAATCATAACTTAGGTCATATGAATAAAGAACACACAGACATTACTTCTAAAAAACAGACAAGTTTTTCAAGCTACTCCCTGATAAATATGAAATACTACGGTATTATCAAGAAAAGTAATGCTGGGGCTGGAGGTGGCTCAGCAGTTAAGAGCAAATGCTGCTCTTACAGAGGACCAGAGTTCAATTTCCAGCATTCACGCTGGGCAGCTTACAACTTCTGACACACACACACCTTAAAAAAGAAAAAGAGCTGGGCGGTGATGGTACACATCTTTAATCCCAGCACTCAGGGAGGCAGAGGCTGGTGGATCTTTGTGAGTTCAAGGCCAGTCTGGTCTACAGAGTGAATTCCAAGACACCCACGGCTACACAGAGAAGCCCTGTCTTGAACAACCAAAAAAAAAAGTATACAAAGAACTCAAAAAAGACCAGTTTTCATTATGGATAGATTCTGCTCCTCTGTTTCTATGGTCTGTTGTTTTAGTGAAGGCTCTCTGAAACTAAGCAATCATTCTCTAACATACAGTCACCCAGAAAGCTCTTGTAAACATTCAATGAAATGAGCAGGTGTTACCATGTGATGTTCTTCACAGGCTCATGTGTTCAATGTACGACACCCTGCTGGTAGCACTATTTCAGCAGGTTTTGGACACTTTGAAGAGGTGGGGCATAGTTGGAGGAAGTAGGTCTCTGGGGCAAGGAGTGCCTTTGAAGGTCATACCTGGACCCTGGTTCTCTGCTGCACTGCTGTCTACAGCTCCTCTGCATGCACATGCCCCTGCTGCCATGATGCTCCACCCATGGGCATGGAGTCAAGCAATCATGGACAGAACCCAGTAAGATCATCAGCCAAAAGAAATCTCCCCTTAATACAGGTGCTATTCAGTGTCACTACTGTGAAAAAGTATGTGGATTAATAAGCACTGAGACAGACTCAGGTTTTCTTTACTGCATTTACTAGCTTTATATTAAGTTTTGTATGTAGATGCATATGTATGTAACGTGTTCCTGTGTATGTGTGTACGAGTCTGAGTACATGTGTGTCATGGAACAGATACCACACTGCATGTGTGTCAGAGGATAGTCCCAGGTGTCAGTCCTCAGCTTTCACCGAGTTTGAGACAGGGTCTCTTTTTGTTCGCTGCTCTATATACTAGGCTGCTTAGCTCAGGTATTCTCCGGTCTCCACCTCCCTTAGCCACAGGTGCTGGCATCATACTTGAACTACTGTACTTGGCTTTACATTTGAATTCATGTTCTCATGACTGCATGACTATCGCTTGTCTCTTTAAACCACCTCAGAGCCCTATATTACATTTCTGAAAACCAATTACCAAAGCTCTTTGTCTACAATACAGATAATACCTGGCTCACATTCTAGATTTGCTGGCTTCAAACCTGCTATGTAACTGAGGGATGCACTGAACATCTTATACTTCTGCCTCTACCTCCCAAGTGCTGGAATTAGAAATGTGGTCCACCATGTTCAGCCTTTGGAAACTTGTGATTATAGCAACATGGGGACAGGGATGCCAGGGGCAAATGGCCAGGGAAGCTACTAACACTCATCCTGAAAGCTGATCAACAAAGAACGATCAGGCTGAAATGTTAAAGGCGTTGAGACCAGGAACCCTGCTGTGAACTATACACACAAGCAGAGACTCAAACTAACCAGGACTACGCTCTGAAGGGGTCAGGCTTTCCCATCTATGTCAACACCTAACAGGATATGACAGTATGTACTTGGAAAACACCTAATGAAATGAATGAATAAGTAAAGAAGCATGATGCACTCTCAAAGGAACTTGGCTCTTCCCAACAGAGCTGCACGTGGCAGTAGCAAAAAACAATCACTAGAACCATATCCCATAATCCATCATGTGATATGGAATAAAAAAGGCAGTTGGTCACTGGCAGACTTCTTCAATTGGGGCCAAGGGTGTGGCTCGGTGGTGGTAGAGCATTTACTTCACATGCACAAGGCCCTGGGCTCAATCCCCTGTAATGCAATAATCAGGAACTTTTTCAATTTTGTGTATGTTGGGGATTCAATTCAGGTTCTCACACATGCTACGCAAATGAGCCAGAACTCCCAGCTCTTTAAGTTATGTGTGTGATTGTGTACGTGTATGTAGTTAAATATGATATATGCAATCATACACTGTAGAAGAGGTGGCTCCTCCAAGCTGTCCTCTGGGCTTCCACATGCGCACTCTGCCAGACGGAAATGCAAGTGTGCATGCACAGATGCACACAGCAAGCACAAGAAGTTCCAACTATAACTGTACTTCTCATACCTGTGGTTCAGGCGAAATACTCACATACTAAGATACACTGGTGCTGGACAGATGGCTCAGCGGTTTGTAAGAGCACTGGCTGCTCTTGCAGAGCACCCGGGTTCGGGTGGCAGCACCGCACCGTGGCTTATACCCAGCTGCAACTCCAGCTCTAGGTCAGCCCTCTTCTGACCTCCAGCACCAGGCACATGGCCAGACATACACATTGTGGATATAAACACGGTTCTGTTTTAATCCCAGGTGTGGGATGTGGGACTGATTCAGATGGTCCACAGCAGCAGACTATTTGCCTCATGCAGGCTCTGAGAGGAGCTCTTCACCAGCTGTAGACAGTTTTTAAATCTGAGGACTCTGGAGAGAGAATAAATGCCAGAGCCCAGAGAGTGTGGAAGAGGTCTGAGAAAGAACAAGGCTGCTGTTGCTTCCTCCCCTAACCTCCCGGGCTCCTGGTTGCTGTTGCTGCAGTGAGGAAGTTAGAGATTTTCTGAAACGAGAGCGGGACAGGCTCCAAGGAACCCGACCACCCTAACCAGCAGGAAGCAGCTAAGAGAACTGCTCCCCCTCTCCCACTGACCCTTTCTCTCTCCTGCCTGGTGCTGGGTATTAGAAGGGATTGGGGTGCAGTAAGGAGAAAAATATAAGAAATGTAAATTAAAAAGTTATTTAAAAAGTTCGTCAACACATACATGCAGGCAAACCAC